TGCGATCGATGCCAGATCGAGCTATCTTGTCGGTCTTGGACTCTTCCCTATTTCCGATTCTTGACCAATCTGCTGCATAAAATATGACTCGTTTTGGAGCAAGGAGTTCTTGAAGCGTCTATCCCCGAGTAAACCAGCGACTGACTGCAAACTGATCTGACAAGACATCACTGTCTGTTTGAGGCGTGGGGATGTCTGAGAGATATGCATAGCATTCCTGAGACTTGGGGTACCATGCAAACATAGAGTTGATTGCCTCGGGTAGCTCAGACGAGCTCGTCTTGTCGATGCAGATGGTGTCAACCCATAGCCACCTATGTCCATGGTCAAAGGCTTTCTGGCAAGCTTCATTGATCTTGGCAAAGGCAGCATTGTTTGACCCAAGTACAAGGTCTTGCCAGTCCTGGAATGTCACCTCCTTGTCTTCCCAGGTGTGGGAAAGAATAGCATAGGGCGTTATGTTGAAGCTAAGGCTCGTGGAGATACGCCACAGTGCTTCCGCGGGCGAAATTAAAATTGAGACAAGTTCGAGGGTAGTTTGAGCCACTGCAAACGATGCGCAGAACGAATGAAGAGTTTTCCTTATTCTACAACAGATGGTCTGGCAATCTAGCGTGGAAAAAGTAAATTAGGGTCAGGCTGAGTCCAATTTAGGGTGTCAGCCCTTATATGATGCAACATTATTTAGCCTGGCCACCATCTCAGACGAGGCAGCATATGGCTGCTATTGCATATGCAGACAAACGTCGCGTGGAAACTAGTGTGGTTGAAGCCTCTGACAAGCCCGGGCACTCGGGTGACAAAAGTCAGCGCCGCTTTCTATGCCTTTACCATACAAATCCCGGCGCTGATTTTTGTCACCCGAGTGCCAGGATCGGTGGCGTTTCATCGCCACAATCGTGGAATGTATGGAGATGCACAAGGCTGTATGATGGAACTCGGCGAGAGAGGTTTGATACAAAAAGTAGTGAAGAAATGGGGAACACCCTCCTCCCCCCCCCATTTTAGAACAATTTTTCAATCGTTTCCTTCTTCTTGATCTTCTTGACTGGACGAGGCGTTATTTGGCTCCCGAATTGGGGGTGACCTCTACTGTACGAACGTAGTGGTGGAATGCTGTACAGTCATCCTATTGTTGAGATTCTTCCGCCAAGGTGATAAGTACGGCAAGGGTGAGGTGACTTTAACATGGTCCAAACTATGTAGCATAGCTAATGTTAGCTTATAGTCGCCGAATCCTTATTCACTCAAGGTGAACACGCCTAGCAATTCATCATGCATCAAAAGTCCCGGATTCACCACGTAGGAACGGTGGCCATCTTCTTGTTAACATGTCTGTTTGTTCGATACCAAATCCTGTAGAGATGCCTTGCTCAATCCACTCTTCGCTCACCCTGGTCGTGTGATCTTCCGGCAGCGACGGATCGGACGGCACCTGAACTGCAGTGGCTGTAATTAAGCTTAAAAACTGCATCTTGATTCCGGCAACATAGTATAGAGTTCGCTCAGCTTTGATTCGTCCAAGTGCTTTGTCACAAGACATAGCCGGACAAGCAAAACTAGTGCTTTGGTTATTTGCAATTAGTATGGTTCAGCATACGATATCTGCAACAAAGCCGTCGTGCGCTTGAACAAACGCCATTTCCCCATTGTTTAAAGCACGTGTCTTCTGAATCAATGGATCTAACAACTGCCAATTAAGGTTTGGAACGAGAACTACTTTACAATGTCCTCCATAGTTGTATTCGGTGCCATGTTTGAAGTCAACTACAGTGCATCGGTAGGCATATACTGGCTTAACTCAACCACCCTGCTTCCCACGCAACCCCGCATACCACGCAGCCCAACAACGCGTCACCATAAAACCTACTCCTCTTTTCTAACTATCACAACATCTTCTATTTTACCCTAAACAACGCCATTTTTTGAGGATATCTTTTTTACTATAAGATGAAGCAGTATAGTGAATATGAGCTATAGTGGGCACTTTGGGATATTGTTGATGGGCTTAGTATCTGCAGGGCAGGTCGCAAATAGGGCATCCCAGAGGCGACTATACGACAACGTCTCTATGGTACCTAGTCTAAAAATACTGCCTTTGGTAGACTATAGCAGTTATCTTAGAACCAGGAAGGTCTACTTGCTAAGTAGATATCTAAGTAGGCTGCCCTAGGCTCTGCGTTTTGCTATTAGCAAGTTAAAGGGCTGGCTGAGCGCATGCTGGGCGATGGGCAGCGACCACTTGGGAGGAAGTGGATATAGCGATTTCTTTGCAGAAACCTATTTATCAGAACTTAGCGATACAGGGCAATTAACGCTAAGCGAATTAATGGGGCAACTGCTAACATTATCCAAGAATGGTTTCATTACCTTGATTTACTAGCAATCCTGCCCATCAAGCTAGCTAATAGATGGAACATGGATGAGACTAGTATCCTTGAGGGCAAAGGAAGCAATGGGCTAGTACTAGGATCCTCAGAGACCAAGTATATCCAGAAAAAACAGCCTAGATCGCGGGCATGGGTATCTCTGATCAAGTATGTCTCTGCCAGAGGACGCGCACTTCTGCCTCTTGTTATATATAAGGGCAAGTTAGTCTAGCAATAGTAGTTTCCTCTAGATCTTTAACCCTATGCTAGCTGGAAATTCATAGCAATAGAGAACGGCTAGACAACTGATCAGAATGCCCTAGAATGGCTAGAAAAGGTCTTTATCTTTTAGACTATCCCAGAGGACCCTTCAGATACTAGACTACTAGTTCTAGACGCCCATCACAGCCATACAACAACAGACTTTCTATGGCGATGCTTCTAGAACCACATACACCTCCTGTTTCTGCCGCCGCACACATCACACGTCCTCCAGCCTCTAGATCAGTCAGTATTCTGACCTCTTAAGGTAGCCTATAGGAAGTATCTAGGGTACCTAGATATACAAAGCGATTCAACTGTAACAGGTAAGAGGAACTTTATAGACTATTATAGAAGGGTACGTCTAGACGCCTTGACTATCTAGGTTATTAAAAGCGGCTAGAAACACACTGGGTTATGGCCAGTTGATGTAGCGCAACCTCTATCTAGCCCTTTCGTGTCTAAGGCATCAGCCAGCCAGCCAGCCAGACAGCTAGACGGCCAGACAACTGGGCAGTCAGGAAGTCAGCAGTGGGATGAAGCTGTATCTATAATCCCATGGTCAACCCCGCGTAAGTCTGCTGATCTTCAGCGTCAGCTGCACCTATTCAACCAGCTTACACAAAATACCCGAGAAATCTACACCCAACGCCACCTATTTAGAAAGGTCCAAAAAGGCTAGGACCAACAGGCCTATAGACTGACAGTCCTAGAGCGTCAGGCCCAGGCATTCCAGGCCCAGACGGATAGTCAGCAACAAGGCAGGAGAAAAAGGGTCCAGACGGACCCTAACACGACGTTCGCTAATATCGAGGATATCCGACGGGCGCAAATTGCTGCTGGCGAAGCAGAGAGTAGCACAAGTGAATCCAGTGGATCTGAATTATCTAGTGAAGCAGAAAGTTGCATCTGGGTAGGTGGTAGGGATGAGGAATAATGGATGTTGTTGATGGGTATGGTGATATTGATGGGGGTTTGGGGCTGCGTGGTATGCGGGGTTGCGTGGGAAGCAGGGTGGTTGAGTTAACAGGCTCAGTCGGAGTCCACCAAGGTCCCGAACGACTGTTCCATGGCGGTGCAGCGCTCCGAAACGCCGCTTTCAGTGGGCCCGGATCGGCAGATATGCCAGTAACCCCGGCGTGTGGTCACAAACCTAGCGCATGTTCCGCAAATAAATCGAACTACATGCCACCATGTTTCCAACAGTTCAGTTGTAACTTTGCTGTTATCTGTGTAGTCTTTCCCATAAAAACGTTTCAATAATTGAAAATTGGAGTCTCACTAACACCTACAATGGCACTTTCGGCTCAACCTACGGAGCCGCTGCTCGGATGTCCACCACAGCTTGCCAAAGGCATCCCATCAAGTGCTTGAAACCATGCTATACTCCCGAGTAGGTTCTAAGTAAGGGCAACCCATAAACGACATCTGGTATTCAAGCTGCGTAGGCAATCTATTCTTTCTCTTCCTCCTCATGGACTTCGTAGTCCCCATGAGATTCCTCAAGGAAAGCAGAACGAGTTGCTGAGAAACAAAGCCCCCCCACCGTCAATAGACACCGACGTCTTCATACACACGCGCTCGATCTTTCAAAGTACCGCAACACCCAGCACGGCACGCAGCTCTGAAGGAAAATTCAGTGTGCTTGGGCTGCAACAGAGACAACGAATAAACCTCGGCCGGCGCCTATATTCCGTTTGCGACGTCTTTACCCGAGAACTACACCTCGTTCCCTCCGCTTTACTAATGCCCCCGAGGACGTCGCTCGCTCGTAACGATCTCCATCGCCAAGAACTGATCAAGAGATCATGCGCCACAAGACGTGTACAAGATCTCCTTGTTCGCCGTCACGAATAGTGCTCTAAATGGCCAGGAAAGAGGGGCCGAGGGGTTCGGTCAAGACAATCTTGAGTCCTGCCAAGCGTTGGGCAAGAGCAGGGGAGCAAGACGCCCAGATCACCGAGGCACCGGTTAAGACCACAGCGTGTCCAATACCAACGACGCCAAGCTGATATCAAGAGAAATCACAGAACACAACCCGCAGTTGGGACGAAGCAAGTAAACAAAAAAAAGTTGAATTCAGCGAAACAAACAAAGACACCTCTAAAAACAATAGTGACCTCTCTTTACGGTCCGTGTCATGAAGCAGAATAGCTGCTGCCAGTGAGGCCCAACGCCATGTGATTGTGACGAACACAAAAGAGCCTCATGCCAATGGTAAAAAAGATCCTGTCGAGCCGTGACTGTATTAAACCAGGCACCGCGGTACCTGTTTTGGATATCCTACACGCTCGCATAAAAGTATATTTGCCCATGTCCCAGGCGCTCCAGTTTTTCCTCCTCAGTACATCATTAGACGAATGACATCGTTTACAAGGCAACCATGGCAGCACCGACGGCACCGGCGGCGACCAAGTAGGCGCCAACGGCGAAGCCACCGAAGTTGAAGATGGGCTGGTAGGGGTTGCCGGCGGCAGCGTTACCGGAAGCGCTGGAGCTGGGGTTGGCGGTGGAAGAGACGGGGGCGGTAGCAGTGGCGGCGGCGCTGTTGGCAGCGCTGGCAGAAGCGAGGGCGCTCTTGCAAGAGCTGTCGCTGCTGGAAGGGGTGACAACCTGGGCCTGGCCATCGTAGTCGCAGGCGGTGCTGGCGGACTTTTGAGCCTTGTAGTAGGCGTCCATGACGAAGGAGAGCTTCTGCTCGTCGGTGCACATGGAGTAGGCGCCGTAGACACCGGTGGTGGTGTTGGTGTTGATACCGTTGCAAGAGGCGGGGTCGGCGCCGCAGATGTAGCCGAAGATCTCGCCGATGGCAGATGCCTTCAGGCCGGTCTTGGGGGTGCAAGAAAGGCTCTTAACCATGCACTCGCAGAGGGAGCTGTCGGGGGTGGGGGGAAGAGCATCGGCGTGAACCTCCCAGTTGGCAGCAACACCGGGGCACTCAGCAGCCTTGTTGGTGGGCTCGTAAGAGGACATCTGGACAGCAGAAGGGGTGGCGGCAAGAACGCGGGAAGCAAGCTGTTTGTAGTTCGTCATGGGTGAGGCCGTGTCGCCCTTGACCTCGACAAGACCGTAGTCGTTGGCCTCCTGGAAGTACATGTAGACGATACCACCAGAGAAGACGTCAGTCATCTCCTTCTCGTACAAGGCAGTGGTCTCCTGGAAGATGCGGCCGTCGGCACCGTCGGGAATGTTGCAGCCGTACTCGGCGAAGAAGACGGGGACGGAGTAGTTCTTGAAGAAGTCGATCTGGGTTTGGTAGCCGGAGCCAGCCAGGGTGTTCTTACCACACCACGAGTAGATGTTGTAGCCCCAGAAGTCGATGGCGGAGTCCTGGTCACCGCAGTTGAAGTAGTGGGCCGAGTTGGTGCGGATCTCGGCGTCGTCGTTGGCGGCGTAGCCAACACCCATCCAGCGGTAGCCCTTGTCCTTGATGTACTTCTTGGAATCACGGACAGCAGCCTTGACGAAGGCAGAGGCCTCGGTGTTGGTCTTGTTGTTCGAGACCTCGTTACCGGCAAAGAAACCGATGGTGTTGTCGTACTTGGCAAGGGAATCGATGACGGCGGTGTAGCGCTCGTACAGGTCGGTGTTCCACTGGGCGTTGTCACGGTTAATGGACAGCTTGGGCTCGCCGAGGTCGGAAACGACGTAGATGCCGGCGTCGCTCAGCAGCTTCATGCAGGCGTCGTGGTCGTTCTTGGGGTCAATGGCGTAGGTACGAATGGTGTTGGTGCCGGCCTTGACCATGATGGGTACGTCACGTCTGCAGGCGGCCTCGTCGGCCAGAGGGTCCTTGTACTCGCCAGTCTTGGACTCGCCGCCGGCGGCGGCGGTGTCCTGCTGGTAGGCGATACCCTTCATGAAGAACTGTGTGCCGTTCTCGTAGAAGAACTTGGAACCCTGGGAGGCTGTCAGCGATCTGTGGTGGCAAGGGATATTCCCGGAGGCGAGTCAGTCAGTCCAAGGCATACCTTCATGACGATGGGGTCGAGAGCAGCGGCGTTGCTGGCGAGCAGCAGCGCCGCCGAGAATACGGTAGCGACCTTGCCCATTGTGAGAGTTGGTTGTGTAGTTTTTCTTGGTGGTGAAGTTTGGAATCAGGTTCCTTGTTGGAATCTCGGAGGCACGAGTCGAGGCTGTCGTTGCCGTTGGTGATTTGACCTTTACTGCGGAATGATACAGTAAATGAGGCTTCCTTCTTTCTTTCTAGCGTGAAGAAGAATCCGACCCAAACGGTAGGTAGGAAACAAAAAAGTTGGTAACGAGTTATGCAAACGAGAGTGCGAAGTATTGGCTTTGTATGTGATTAAAAGAAGAGGGTGTATTTAAAGACAAGCGACACACATTCACACGAAAGGATGAAGATGTTGACGATGTCTAATAAAAAAAATCCCCTAAAAAAGAAGAAACGATTGCGGATAGCAAGTGAGGGAGTGGACGGGTTTGGAGGAAACACGGAGGAGAAAAAGGAGGAACGTCAAGAAGTAGGAACCTGTGACGGAGGGAGGAAGCGCGAGGTAGAAAAGCAGAAACACGCCCTGGAATGATGGACTAGCGACGGTGGACCCGACGCAGGGAATACGGGTCAGATACAGGGTACAAAAGGTACACGAGCATTTGTGAGGGCCCCGGGCGGGTAAGAAATGAGGCACCAAGCCGATCCAAGCAGTCAAGATCCAATTACTCCATGGGCAAAATGTGGGATCGACTGGCTGGGGCCGGCTGGTGAAGCAGAAAGGTGTGTACCGCATAGTATTAGGTTTGGCAGGCTAGACCATCAAAAACCCACCGCCAGATACATACATCGTACTACTACGTACAGGTAAGTACATACTAAGGTAAGCACCACTGGACCGAGCGGGAGGAGCATGGGAAATCAAGTGTGCAGGGAAGGAAGGAAAGAAGGAGAGGATGGCTAGAGAGAAAGACGCAGAGACAGTGGGGGACGTATCTTGCATTTTGCCGTGATGAAATTGAATGGAAGGAAGGCAGGCCAGGGGGTCATGGATGGGCTGACCAGGGGGTGGGTGGTCGTTCCGCAGAAAACAGCTTGGCGGGAAGGAGGGGCAGGGGTGACCCCTATCTTTTTTGGATTTTATCCTTACTGACAAGCTTCGTTCCTGCTTGGTACTAGTGTGTATGTACTATGTACCTTTAGCCTCTCCTTGCCGCCCCTTCTGGCTCTGGCGCTTCTCATTCTCTCTCTCTCTTTCTCTCTGCTACTCTGCACGCCTACCTACACACTGTGACTGATGTGACTGTTTCTTTCGCCTCAATTTCAGACCCAGTCCGTCGTCGCCCCGTATTGGCTCGGGGCAAATTGGCCGCTCATCGTTTCCAAAGAAACAAACGAACGAACGAACCGCACACCTTGGCTGCATCGGCGCCTGTATCCGTCTGCATCTGTAGGCATTTGGGTCCCGGCATTTGGTATTGGCAGACATTGGCAGATGTTGGCAGCAAGATTGGACGTGACAGCCGGCGCAAGACCGAGGCGCAGTAGTCTTAGCACATCACATTTCCTCGACGACGGCTTCCTGTGTCTGTGTGTCCCTTCTCGATACCTGTGTTGGGGAGTCGACGAGACGACAAACCCGAGACGAGACGAGACGATACCAACCGGGAAAAGAAGATGCGACGATACCTGAAGCCACTGCGTGACACTAACATAGCCATAGTACCTTTCCAACTCACGAGGTATCCGCGCATCGCCTCGCTCGCATCGACCAGCTGGACAGCTGGACAGCTCGACTTCTGACTGGCAACTCAACTCAAACAAGCGCCTTCCCAATGCCCGCTCCTCTGCGAGGGATCATACCTAGGTAGGATGGTCGAATACGTACCGGGCTTGCTACAGGAGTCGGCCTTGGCAGGTTCATCTCGTTTCAAGGTCGTGTGAGAGGCATAATACGTACTATCTATGGTACGGTACAGTGTGGGAAGAGAGCCCCGTCTCATGACGTCCAGACATTCTCCTCCATTTCTCCCACCTAATGCTCCAACGGACCGACACATGCCCACAGCGCTACCTTTGTTATCGACCACGGCTCGCATCACAAGACTAACAGAACTCTCGATTCTGAAGTCGGTCGTCAGCAAACGCGCCCTCCCCCTTCACACTGTACACCACACACACATAAACACACACACACACACACCGGTACCAAGCAGTGTACACAGGCCGATGCCTTCAGCTCCACCGCCTCATCCACCAAGGCCGTTAGTGAGATGGCGAGAAATAGGGGCAATCTCCACTCGATGTGAGCTTCGGCCTGGAATAGCGGCTGACTTTCCCAGACCGGGACTTGCGGACGCCGGCCCTCGTCTTGTTTCTCTCTGTCCCCTCGCCCCTCCCCGTCCCTCGTCCGTCGGGCCCATTCACTCTCAGTCCAATACCAGAGCTCTCGACGGTGACCTGCACGTACCGGGGAATGGATGGAAGCATGCCAGCCGTGGTCAGTTCACCGTTGTGCATTGCCTAGTACTATGTAGGTAGCAGAGGAGCCCCCCCAACCATCACGACCGGCCATCGTCGACCGTCAATCCAGATCAGAAACGAACTGGTCTGCCAAGAGATCAATGACTTCGCGGCATTCGCATTTCTGGTCCTCCAGCATCTTGGCCTCGTAAGCCCCCACATGCCGCTGTCAACTCCCGCCGAGAACGTCCAAAACACCAGAAAAGTCAAAAGCTTAGCTCTCTCCGCCCAGCCAGCCGCCCAGCGCCATTTTCCCTTCTTCTATCGTTCAAGTCTGCCGCGCCGGCTGGTGACCGCTCTGCGCAGTCCGCCCGCAACAACCTTGGACGGAATACACCAAGCAGGATTCTCAGTGGTTCTCATTTCGATGCCTCCTTGCGATCGTTATTACAATCAACATGCCGCGCTCACCTTCTTCTCCACCCTGCACTCCCCGTCTGCAGTCGGATTGTCAGATTGTCCTGTCGGAGGTGACACTGGACGTCGACCCAAATCTCCAACGAGAGCCACATGCAACGGCGATGCGAGCCAAACACTGGGCCGTAATCAGAGACAGTACCGACAGAATGCAGCACGCACATGTCTGCCAAGTGTAGTGTACCGTCCGCGGTCCAGACTTCACAGCCACCATTGACCGTCCCACCGGCCAGAGGGCCGTTGCCCACGGCCCAATCATTCCCCAGCTTCCAACCCTCCAGCGGTTCCTTCGGGCCTTCCCCAAGTACATAGCAGTTATACTGTACTACCTCCGCATCGAACCAAACCGGTCCGATGTCACTGGCGCGTTCCTGGACGGGTGCCCGATGACGACGCTCTTACTGTGTCTTGCTCGTATCGAGTGCTCCAACATGCTCGATTTGCATTGAAAGCCGGGCTGAGCCTCCGAAAGTTCAGCACTCGTCGCTCATGACGCACTTGAAGCGTAGAGACGAGATATTCGGGTTGCCGATGCAGCAGCAGCAGCAGCAGTAGTGCATCGGGGTTCAGAGCATACCGCGGCATTACAGAGCCAAAATTGCAGTTGCCGTTGCCAATACGAGGCACATCTTATAAAAGCGTGAACACGGCCAACAATGCTTGGCTCAGCAGTGTCCGCCCATGGTACAGTGCCTGAACCAGCACCATCTATACTGGCTGCCAACTGCTGGCAGAGCGATCCACCAGGACAGAAATAAGGACAACAAAAATAGGACCGGCGGGCGGGAGTCAATTAACTCTCTTTTGGCCCTTTCGAGGTTCGGCCTACCTTAAGTTGATTGCTTGGAGCCAGGGCCGGGATTAAACGACCCATCGGGACACCCCTCTCATGGGCTGTTGACGAATCGATAGCCAGCACCGGTTGGCTTTTGGCGGGCCGGCTGCCAGCTGCGAATCTCGAACTGGAATCATCTTCATGCGGCGGGCGGTGCGGACCCAGATATTCCAAGGGGAACTGTGGTTTATTTGTGGACTGCTCGACACTGCTTCATCTGCCGCACGGCGCAGCGACATCGACCCAACACCTAAACGGCCATACGATACGTGGAACGACCGGCTCGCTTTGTTTCTCCCCGAAAATTCCTTGTCGTGGCACAAAAGTTGGACGGACCGTACGGTATACAGTACCTAGACGCTCCAACGGCGCTGATGATCTTCCTTCCTCCTGCTTGAAGCCCTAGTCTCGATGATCCTCTTACATTCCCAGGTGTGCCATGTTGAATAGTGGCTGTCTTTGTTTGCTGTTGTTATTGGCAAAAAGAAAGAAAAGGACTACTACTCGTTTCCTCGTCTTGCCCGTTCCCTATTTGGCTCCCCTCCCATATCCATCCAACCGAACCATTCATTCGCCCTCCAAAGCAGACAAAAGCAGAGAGGCGATTCATCCCACTCGGTTGCCATCCCGCGGACACCCAGCGGAACCGCCGCCAGGCCCGTTCGCCGTCCACCGCCCCCGTTGGGCGACCTCACTGCAAAAGCCCCCCCTCCCAGCATGTCCCCCGCCCCGGTTCCCTGAACTCCCCCTGGGCCGGTGGCAGGATCTTCCCCCCTCAAGTCCGTGTCAAGTTGATGGGGAACCACCTCGGGGCAGTCGTCCTGCTCGTCCTGCTGATCGGGATTTCCTGCCCGACGTCATCGGTGGACAACGCCGTCGATGCCAATTTTCCCGTGCGTCCAAACGGGTTGTTTCGTTGCCCTGTTCCCTGGGGTCTGGCGCCCCCGAGAGAGAACAGGATGGCGCGTTGTTTTTCAACGCGTGCCCTGGCGGGTTCAGCGGTTCCCGTCGCGCCTGTTGTGGTTCGCAATGTTGATCGCCAAAGGCTTGACATGCTTGATTCCTCAGCTCGCGTATCGCCGCCCATGGCCAAGGCGTGCCGTGTCGCACCGCCCGTCACCACCCCCCCATCGTCTTCGGCGTTTTTCTCGCATCGACGCCTCGACCCGGTGGGCCGTCGCAGTGATACTGGGCCGACCGGTAGGGTCTCGAGTTTGAAGGCTTGCTCGCCTACTGGCGGTGACGGCGACGGTGCCCATCGGCAGGCCTCTGCCACTTGCGTTGCATATCACCATTTGCCGGTGATCTTGAAATATGCCTTCCCCATGCCGTAGCAGACGCCGTCCCAGACCTCGTACGTCTCACGCCAGACGGTGCGGAGCGGGTTGCGTCCCGACGGCGACGGGCGGGCCTGTCGGCCGTTGCGCTGGTATTGATTGACGGTCGTCATTCTCCTTATCTCGTGACTGTCGATGATTGTTGGATGCGGGTTTGTTGGAGTTTTCCTTTACGACATATGGTATACCCCAATGATTTTGAGCCTTTGACTGCGAGAAATGACAGCCAGTCTCCGTGATTAAATAGATCTGGGCAAATACAGCCTCGTCGCAGCACGCATCTGCCTTTCCCATCTTGGCGTCTGTCACCGGTCCTCCCAAAGCTGGAGGACTTTGTCCCTCCCCCCCTCCCCCGTCCCCGTGTCGCCGCCGTCGCCGGCTTGTCACCCGGCGGTGCGGTCGTCACGAGTCCGCCGGCCGCCGCAGCACACCACCCCGCGGACGCCTGACAGCGGTTCCACCATGGGTAGCGCTCAGCACATCGCGGCACGCCACAGCAACGGCGCAACGAGAGCAGCCACCATTGGCCGCTAAACAGTCCACGCCGACGGGCGCAGACGCAGGCGCAGGCTCAACGTGAGGCAGCCGACCGGTGCAGCACACCACACCACCACGCGCGCCGATCAAATGCCCTCCTCGGACATCCTATCTGACCAGGGAGTCCCGTCACTTAGAACACCTACCGGCGATTATTCTCCGTTCTTTTGGGGGATGTGCTTGCGAACGGCTTCCCTGGGGGAGAACACAACGTATATTTAAAACTGGGGATGAAGGGTGTGAGATGGACGGGTTCCTGGCGTGGCGCCGCCGTCACACTCACATACACACACACGTTCACTCGCCGTCTCCCCAGGAAGAAGTGCACTGGTCGGGTGCCTGGCGTGACCGTCATGATATGCCTCGCCAAGTAGACAATGCCGCCGCACACCCACGTTGCTGCGCGCGTCTTACAGCCCGTCGTCACCGCCATCTCCCCGCCCGTTCTCCCAGGCCACGTTGAATGCCCTCTGGTTTGTCTCGCATGTCGTGCATCCCGGCGCCTCCCCGCGCCTTGCCCTGAGAAGTCCCTTGGGTGCAAATCACGGATATCTGTAGAAATTCCCCGATGATCTGTGTGGCTGCAACCCCGGCTGGGGGTGAGTCGTGTGTCCGAGACTTGTTTGCATGGGGTGTGCCAATGGTTATAGGCCGTCTTGGTGAAGATCACGGGATGAGGAATAGGAGGGCAGGCCGATGGGCGTTTGCCACCACGGTTCCGGTGACATGCAGACTGTTTAGTGAATGAATACGGGGCGTAGATGATGCCCGTGGGGAGCTATTTAGAGACTTTAGTCATTTTTGTACATGTGCTTCATCCTGCCACTGCTGGCCTCGTTCAGAGATATCTCTGGATGATGTCGTGACACATTTTGAGGAGACCTAGCCTCTAGTCAAGTACTCCGCTATCTTTCACGTTCCACGTTGACATTGATGTGTGCCTCTGCTGAGCGAAATTCCTCCAGCCATATCTCGCCGTCGCGTCTTTCAGATGACATGTCATTCATATCCCATGTCGTTGACGGTTTTGGCGAGTCATATCCTTCAAGTCGTCTATCATATGACAATCCCTACCCCCTCTATACGGGAGTCGTGTACATGTATCAGCCGTGTTTTTATCGTATATGCAATTCGGTTCAAGTCCCGAGCAGCCATATGGCTTGAGTGTGTAGCAAATCTCGGTCCCTCTGTTCTGGCGGAGACATCAGCATTGTTACCCCAGCTTGGAAGACAGGATGTAGGTACTGCTTGCCAGAGTTGTTTCGTAGCAAAGCGCATTCATCATGTCGAATGTGGTGACGGTGCGTGTCTGTGGATCTCGTATGCGTAGTTGCCTACTCAAGACGAAGTCTCTTGTTGCCTGTCTATATGTTGGCTCATGTCATGAGAGACACATAAACGCAGGACAAAACTCACCAGGCTCGCCGACTTCAGACATCTGAATGACAAAGTTGATCTCGCCAGTCGTCACAGAGATTTCCATCGGCACGGGCGCCTTCTGCCGCTTCAGTGAACTCGGAGCCGCCTGACCGGCCGGCGCGCTCTCGTAAACGGTAACGATGGGCGAGAGCCCCACGCGGCGGCGCGGCGTGTACGACCTCTTGGCGGGAGTCGCGGGAGGGGTGAGGGGCAAGGAGCCGGCCTCGCCCTTGTCGAGCTGCTTCTTTGAGAAGACCTCGCGGTGCTGGCCAAAGATGGCCGAGGCCACGTACGCGCATTTGGGCGAGGCGTCCTGGTGCTGCTGGAAGGGGTCGTCTTTGGTTTCCCACTTCCAGGCTTGGAGCCTGCAGAAGTCGCAGATGACGTTGTCGCCGGATTTCACCTGGCTGCCTTGCAGGCGGAAGCCGGCACCCGCCATGGCCTCGGGCGCGAGGGCTGGATGGGGCCAGCGGCCGGGCTTGCCGTCTGCGCCGCGCTCGTAGAAGGAGAGGAGGCGAACGCAGAACTCGTCCATGGTGCTGCGAGTACTCTGGTAGTAAGTGTTTTTGGGGAGGTGGATGAAGAGCTGAGGCTCGGGGTAGAGAAGAGGGTGAGTGATTTAATGAAGGATATATAAGCAAAGATGATGCCCAAGTGAGAGGAATCGCGAGTTTAAAGAGAGTTGTGTAGTGGGCAACTGGAGAGAAGGAGGGATAGGATGAGAGGGCTAGGTTTGGCTTGAAACGAAGCCAAACTACTTTCCAAAACCAGAAGACTAGAAGGAAAGAACTATTCTGAGAATTCAACCAAGTAAGGATTGTTCTTGCCCGTTTTGTGAGTTTCGAAGCCCGTAGCCGGGCAATCAAGTTGTGTCTGCTATCAAGAGCGGGTTGGGTAAGGGGCTGAGAGATACGGAGCAAGTCGTGGATGAACTGTTCGAACCACGCAAGCTCACCAGCGTGAGCTTTTGGAAGAATGCTGGTATCATAAGTCTCTGACGCAGAGTTAAGGATGGTGCTCAGTGACTTGTACATCCAAAAAGGAAGGCCATCTTCCCTTTCACAAACCGAACAGCCCAACTTGGACGAGCCTTGATAGGTCGTGAGTTGTCTGCCTTTGAGTATTAGTGTTGCACTTGCGAATTGAGAATCTGACGCCCTTATTTCACGTTAAAGAGCTTTCAGCGTTCAAAGTAACAACTCCGGCTCTATACATTTCATTATTGATGGTTGTTTCTAAATACAATATTATACAATCATGATAACACCGAAAGTCGCCGCGGTGCTGAGGACGCCCAAGAAAACAGACGGCGTCGGACTCGATTTCTAATTGACGCATCTCGAACTTATACACCCTCCCTCAAATGGCACCCAACGCCTCTCCCAACGCCTCGTACGAGTCCTTCTTATACTTGATCCAGTACTCGATCGACGCCAGACCCGTCACAATCAGCATGTCCATGTCGATGCTCTGCGGCGGCACAAACACCTCAAATGTCGGCGTCGATTCGCCGCTCAGCCCGCACATCCTGCCATTGGGGTACTTCGTCCACCTCGCCAGCAAGTTGCCCCCGGCGTCCTTGAAGTACAGCGTGCTCGTCGACATGCTCGTGTTCGAGACGCCCCAGCTGTAGCTCAGCCCGTGGTGGTCGAAGCTGTGCGAGGTGCCCATCGAGTTGGTCCTCATCTTGAACGGCACCCCGCGGAGAACGACATCAATCTTTGATGAGAGGGAGTGGTACTTGGCCGTTCCCAGCGCCTCGCCCGATGCCTGCGCTCGGGGGTCCGCGTGTACCACGGCGACGGTCTTGTTTTCTTTATTGGCGTGGAGGACGTAGAATGGTATCGCGTTGCCGGTCGCAAGGTCGACGCGGTCTACAGTCGTTTGCGCGCCGCCGAGGCGCTCCATCACGCGGAGGACTTCGCAGGGCATGCCGCCGGGCGCGGGTGTTGAGTCGAAGCCGCTGTTCACTATGGTGTATGATTTCTGGCTGTGTTGATCAACGCGTTTGTTGACGAGCGACACAAGTTCGTACATTTCCAAATGTTGGTCTGCCGCACGAGACAAGGTTTGTGTTAAATATTTAGACGTCGTCTTATCCACTGGTTAGCTTGGTTTGATGCTGATGCAGGTTTGCCTGGGTTGGCCTGACGAGGTGACGTTGAGCGGCGTTTGGGGAGAGTAAATTTATATGTACCGGTTACTCGGACTTGGAAAGCCGCGACGGTAGAGTCTGCCTTGAACCAAGATATGAAGCTTAAAGCTGATGCTCGGGGACTCCAGAAGACTTCCCATTGCCTCATTTGGCAAGTGAGCAACATGTCATTCTGTGGCTTGACGCTGCTGATCCCTGGATCTGCAACGTTGCCCGGCAGGGCTGAGGAGGCATGGCGCAGCATCTCCAGCAATCTCTTCATCTCCTCGGCGTTGCAGCAGCACATGGGACAATCATCGTTTAGTTCGTAAAATGGTTCCCCATTCCTTGGCTATAGTTATACGACTTGGGGCAGGCAAAGCAGGGTGCTCTCTGAGACCAAGAGTTGCCAACTGTGAAATGACGTAAGTCGTTCCCCAATCGTGTCGCTTTCAAATTCAAAGAGTGGGAAGCTAGGAGAAAGCCGACGCGAATAGAGGCGCACGTGTGTGGTGCAGGTGTAAGCATGATGGCGCTGGCAAAACCTCGGTTGCACTTGCAACAACTCGCGACTCGTTGCGACGCATTTACGGCATAAGATACACTGCTGTGGTCAAAAGGCGTCGAGATCCGAGGCGTTCGTAAAGGCGCCCATGGGCGCTTGCGGAGTGCTCCGCAGCCAGTTGGGAAATGTCCCCAAAGAGGAACCTTACCCAGCAGACCGGCTTAGCGTCATGCACCATTCTGAAGCTGCCCTTGCTCGAGCGTTCAAATGGCGTGCGGTACGGTGCACTATCAGTAATAAACCCGCCTCTAGACGGCCCAATGTTAAACCGAGTTAGACTGCAATGGGATTTACAGTAACCGACTTCTGTGGCTCAATTTAAGGTGGGCTACCCCAGGTTCATCTGCTTCAATTTCAACGTCGCCACTGTTTCTATCTCTACATCTCATCCAAACTCACGGTTGTCGCCATGGTGCCCCCGGTCCGTACCCAGAAGAATGAAGATGCCATCGCCTACGCGAGGACGCTGGAGCGAGTGCCTTGGTGCGACGACTACGAGAAGATGATCTCAGGCATGCTCTACAGCTGCATGGCGCCCGAGCTGGTGGAGGCTAGGACCCGCGCAAGACGCATAGCTCAGAAGTTCAACACGTATGTCCCGGAAGAGAGCGCGTCCGCGGATGATGTTGCCAACACCAGGATGGGCATGATCAAGGAGTTGTTGGGCAAGATTGGGGACGATGTCTACATCGAGCCCAGCTTGCAGGTGGACTATGGCTGCAACATCACCGTTGGGGACCGCTTCTACGCCAACTTCAAGTAGGTCCTTCTTCCTTTTGCATGAATTTTACTCTGCGCGAGGTCGCACATCGTTTCATGCGTGACCGGTATACTAATAAAGTGCCCCCCAAGCTGCGTTATTCTGGACTGCGCCCATGTCACCATTGGCGACAGAGTCATGTTCGCGACGGGTGTCAGCCTCATCACAGCAACGCATGAGACGGGCTTGCAGTCAAGAAGAGACAACATTGAGTACGCGGAGCCAATCACCATCGGAGATGACTGCTGGATTGGAGCAAACGTCACAGTACTGCCGGGAGTCAAGATCGGCAAGGGTTGTACGATTGGCGCGGGAGCTCTAGTGAGCAAAGATATTCCCGACTACTCAGTTGCCGTTGGCGTCCCGGCCAAGGTTATCAAGAAGGTAGACCCCGTGGATTAAGTGGAGGTTTAGGGAGATGCCATTGGTTTCACGATCCGGGGGCCGGCTCATGAGTTTGCTTCCGCGGTCTCTTCGTCATAAGCTCAAGAACGGTCCGGTTGCCATTCAATATCAGCACACGAGAGGTTTTATTGGCTCTACAGGAGGATAAAAATTCTATTTTCCAAATAGAAGCAAGAACTTGTTGCCATGAGGCCCTATTTGCCAATCCTGTTCAGCAAAAAGTATTCGACGAACACTACATTTGGCAACCAACAACTGTACCCCGTGATTGAAACCACGAGCTTCGTCTCCATGTCCATCGCAATCATGAGAGGCAGTTGCCAGCGCAGCATAACTGCAGCATACGTCAGACCGAAGTTCCTAGTCATCCACGCCTGGTGACTCTCAAGGTCTCCGTCCCGCCGGATAGCCACAATACTTCGCCGTGCAGTCTCGAGCCACCCGACAGCCAAGAGGTCATACCCTACCTTGCCCCAGAAAAATGAATCACCGTGGAAATTGACAAAGAAAGAAGAGATGCCTCCTACTGTTACGGCGAGGACGTAAACCCGACCTATCCATCGGTGGATCGCGGGATACTGTTGCCGTAAGTGCGGGACGAACTGAAAGGGTCCAAGACCCATCGCCAACAAGGAGCTCCCTATGTGGACCCTACCATCAAGAGATGAGAGGATTCTGGCCTTGATTTGAGGATCACCCGGCGTTTCGGCAATGAAGAACGCGACGCCATACGCCGCTACGAGAAAGGCGGGGACGGCCATGAGCCACCATCGAAAGCTCGGCCAGCTCGACCGCGTTTGTTGAGGACATGTGGCAGGTTTTTCGGACAAATCGATACGTCGAGGGGTGCTATAGGTTGCTCCCCGAACGTCTTTGGCGTTTTTGGTCTCAACCAGTGCATTTCGGTGCGTAAAAGATGAGTTGAGCATTTTGAGTAGGCTTCCATATATGTTAGTCAATGAAATGTGGATTTTGTGGCCAAGAGTGAGCTCACCGGTGACTCTGTGCGAGTGGGAATGTTGACGTAGTTCGGGTGAAGGTACCTTGACGTAAGGTTGAAGCTATGCTGGCTATGTCCTTGATTGGTTGTCTGCGGTGATTTCCTGGAAACTCGAAGTGTCACGTCAGTGTATTACTAGGGGCGCAAAGGCATCTTTATAGATATGCATCGCAGGATTCAGGTTTGCAAGTAGAGGATGTCGGACACCCGGCCTTTCCTACAGTCCGATTAGCCAACCTGGTACAATTCTATGATCAACACTTGATTTCGGACTAATGACGTTTTCTATCGGTTCTTCGCCGCTTAATAATATGAAACTCTCAATGGTATATCCTTAGATCGTCACTTACTATTCGACGCAGTGCTTCGAAGAGCAGCCGCGGCTACTATGAATACCCCGAGACTGGGAGTGATTACAAAACTCTCACATTCTGGAACAAATACGGAGTGTTAAATTTGGGTGTGAGTCGCTCAGTATTGACGGTTGTAGGAAACTTGATGCTGGAGATGGGTTTCTTCCGGTCGCTCTAATCGATGGGTTTAATCCGACTATGACGATGCCAAGGTCATTCACTTTACGCCTGAACTTAAATAACTTCAACCTCAGCAGCAGTACTTGTCATGGTACGGGACAAGTTTGGCTGCAACGTCGGGTGCGGTCTCTATCAGTAACCAAATTGGATATGACAAACAGCCAAATGTACTCGAGCGTTCCGTCTTTCTCTCACTAATTCCATGCCAGGCAATACAAGACCTGGGAGCGTCTATAGACGCTCGGCTTGTTCGCCAAGTCCACCTTCTCCACAACCCAACGAATACAACCTATAGATTATTAATCTCTTGTTTTGGTGACTACATTACCAGCGACGGCTTTGACGTGTTAGACCCGCCTTGAAGAAATGGACCGAGGTCCAGCTTTGGTTTCTGTGGATTATCTCCGCGGCCCATGAGTGTTCTTATGGCAGGACGGCGTTTGGCTCAGACATTTTGAAAATTGTTGGAGTCGTTATTCCGTCGCCTGGGATTGCTGTACAGCCATGCTATCAGCCACGAAGCCGATGTGAGAGGTGCCCAAAGTATCATTTATAGGTAGGAAGTCACAAAGTACACTAGACTTGGCAGGTGCTCATAGTTACTGGCGAACTCTGCTTCATTTTCATAACTCTCAAAGCCGAGTTGCTGTTCTGAAGCAAACATGGCGTCCTGCAATGAGCGGAATGCAAGGCAAAGGCTTGACAGCGGGTGCTCCGTTAGCGCATCATATGGAAAAGAATTAACACGCCAGGCTCTCCTCGTCCAAGTAACATCGGCCAAAGGCCTCTTACGAGACTATCCACTGGGAGCAGACGATGGAATACAAAAGTCAGATACCCCGGATTCGTTTTAGGAGAGGTGCAATAGAAGATTTCATCCTACAGTTCAGCGCGGGTTGTGGTGAACGCTGGCTCTCTGCTGATAATTAACGACCGCCTTGTTGCAATAGCTGTGTGCATGGAAAGCAACGCAAGCCAAGACGAAGGGCTTATCTTAGTGATGGTTAGCTGTATTGAGTAACATAAAACAAGAGTTGCATTGATTACAAAAGTGTGTATGATACATAGAATGAAACCCCCCTACACAACATTAGACTCCCTGATTGGCAATCGGGGCAACCTGCCATCGACTCCTTTTCTATTATGATTAGATCAAGTATAGCCATAGACTACCTGAGAAGCACACCGCTTAAGCAGAGCAGAAGCTCCAGCTGCTCTCGACGCCCCAAGAAATACCACCAGAGAAGTTGGGCTTGTAAGTAGCAGCTGAGGGGGCGTACTGTTGAGTGAAGAGACTGCAGTAAGTGCCCTTTGCGATTCCGTTCTCCTTGATCATGAAGGCGTTGAAGAAATTGCACCGCAAAGGACTGTAACCAAACCAGCTGGCCCAAGATGCCAGGCCGAGAGACTTGGAGTTCTTGGTATTCTGGGAAGCAGCATAGGAGGCGCAGACATTGATATCGAATGGACCCGGGAAGAACTTCTGCCCCATGCAAGTAGTGGGATGGTTGTGGACAACACTGCTGCAGTTCTGGGGGTTGGTCCAGCCGGAGGGGGTTGTTGGCGTAGTGGTGTTTGTCTTCTCATACCCGTTGGAGCCGGCGATAACCACTTGGAAGCCGTCTCGCCATTCGCCGTAGTTGACTGCGGCAGCCTTGTCGACGCCGGAGCCCCAGAGGGTACATTTGTAGTTCGAGATCGATGCCGGGTTTGTGCAAGAACAGCCAGCAGGGTTGATCGAGGGGTCACGCTCGACGTAGATATTGATTCCGGTGCAGAGGTTTGTGCTGTCACACAAGCTGGCGCATTGAGCAACGTCATAGCTCTTGAGAGTGTAGAGACCAAGATAACTGTTGGCATTTACGGAAGCGTTGAGATCCTTGAAGGTAGAGGCGTAGCCGGTCGGAGTCTTCGCCGTCAAGGCATCCTGGTGAAACTCCTCGTACGCTTCAAAGGCCTCTACGGTGTCTGGCTCGACATGGGGGCCATTTCCTATTGTTCTTGATTAGCATCAAGCCAAGAAACGGGTAAATATGGGCCATTGGCCTATTTCACTGGATCTTTGACTCACCATCGGGTTGAACTGCGCAAGGGTCTTCCGGGTTGATAAACCCACAGTAGGTACCAACCTCATACGGAGCCGAGCAGGTTGTCGCGGTAGTGAAAGAATTGGTGTTGGTCCAGCTCACTGGCGTACAGGTCGAGGGAGCCGTGGTGATGGTAGCAGCAGAAGATGTAATCGCGACAGAAGCCGTAGTCTTGGTGACAGAAGATGTAGTTGCAGTAACAGTGACTGCCTTGGTCGACGAAGTCGTGCAGCTTGTTGACGTAACAGCCTTGGTCGATGAAGTAGTACAGCTTGTGGAAGTCGAACCGGGAGATCCAATGCAGTATCCAAAGAAGCAGAAGTTTCGTTTCTCCAAGATATCACGAGCCACGATAGACGACGCAGCACTGGCCGAGGCCACACCAGTGGCCGCGACAGCAGCGATTGAAGAAGCGGCAGCTGCGTTATAGACACCGGTCTGGCCCGTGGCAGTGACAGGAGGGCCAGTAAAGGAGGGCGCGGTGGCAGACAAGATGGCGTCAAAATCAATAGGTTGAGTAGTTGGCGAAGCGGTTCCAAGACCCGCGAGGGCAACGAGAAACAAAGGATAGTTCATTGTGAGATTTTGGACTCAGAAAGAGCGTCAAACTTGTGGTTTAAGAAGTTGTTGCAAAGAGAGTGTTAGCAAAAGAGTGATGTACGCAGAGGGGGAGAGAGAGAGAGAGAGAAGGAATTGAGGGTGCTGAGATGAAGAGGGTATCAACTCCAGATCACTAGGGTAGATGATGTTCTTATAACGAATTGCTGATAGCCGGCTATGTTGTTCGATATCACAGGTTTAGATGATGTTGAGCTGACGACTTCTTTCACATCACATCTCGGCATTAAGAAGCCGAATGGCGCCTCGTATAGCTCTGAGCGCTCCCAGATGCGTGGTCTATCTATCCGTAGCTCAGCTTTCTAGAGGTCATAGCTTTTAGTGTACGGTGAGGCCCGTATCTTTCTTTTCTTCTTCATCCACTTCAGGGTACTGTAAGTGGTTTAGAGCCGTAAAAAACAGCTTAGACTGACATCGTCACGTAATCAAGAGAGGCAATACTTGCTGCAAAAACGGATAACGGCAATGCATATGGGGCTGCAAGAGAACTGCACAAAGAGTTTGGATAATGCAAATGTTGTCTATCGCGATTTTCAGAGCTTGCCGACTTTCTTTGTTGGCCGGGACCTGATTTATTGGTAAGACTATGGTAGTGTCCGAACTGATCTCACCGGTTGGCTTTGTCCCAGCCAATCTGAAAGACACTAGAACGGGTAACTCGGAATCTCCAATAACGCTTTGACCCCCCTTGTCACATAGAACGGTAAACAATGTAACCCAGACGGCAGGACACGACGTCCCAGCCTGGTGTTCTTCCAAGCTTGACATTAGACAAGCACACCAGCAGCTTTGGCGGGATGAGTGAGCAAGCATGCCCAATGCAACACCGCGATGGATGATGCTAGACCGACGAGATAAAGGGACATACATGGATATCGGCTTTTTAGAATTAAGAATTTCCCCAACCTTAAAGTGATATAATATAGCTGGGAAGGCTCCTTATCTCCGCCGGCTGCGAATATTCCATTATCTAACCCCCGTGGTGAGCATAGAAACCGGAATGTTTTTTGCGCAAGACTCGTTGCCCTCTTACCCGTTTCCATTGGATGCGAACCCGGAAATACATGTCGGCGAACGCGACACAAAGGCAGCCGTTGGCGCCGTTGAAGTGGTGCGATATTCGAGGTGCCTGCGTCTGTGTTTCGTAGTGACCTGTCGTCGTCCCAGTGACGGCCGCGCGTCAATATTCATAGGCTGAGGCCGAGGAAACGGGATGACGAATCGTGCAGCTGGTGAGTCTGACACATTTTCATCTACTTGCTTTGCTGGTGCTGGAAACCCTCGAATACTAACCGGGGTTGTCATAGGTAGGACCGAATGTTCCTCCTCACAGAGAAGGTATGTCTCTATTTATAGTTAGCACCAGTCCTTTGGAACAGATATCGAGCCCAACTCAACTCGACACACAAGGACAATAAAGGGCTGGGCTGCCTTCACTTGAAATGAGAATTTTGGATTGGCTCGGTCTCCAGGAGGAACAGTCTCAATACTAAACACTCAATCCAACGCGAGATGAACACTGGGAGTTTGAGCCCTTACTTGCGTGATTGAACGCCAATTGGCATGTTGGTCGGAATCAATTGAGCGAAGAAAGTTGTGCTTTCAATACAAGGTCATGAGCGGGTGTCCGCCAGCATCGTACATTCTTGCACTACTAACAGTCAAGATAGACCTAATTCCCATCACCTCTTGACCGCAGGTTACCCGGTAGAGTGATGACCATGCAGTCTTCATTTTGCCACATTGCACCAAGGGTAGGGCACATCTCTTCCAATTATGCGATTTGACAAAGACGCAAGCCGGTGCAGTATGATAGGTAGACCAGAAACTTTTTGTAGAGAGCGAGAAACCTCTCGCCGTCCCCCATCGAAGTTTGGTCAACAGAACTGGGATCCATCTTTGAAATCTTCAAAGCTGTGCATGGGCCGGAAAAGGTTATATGAAGTCTGCCAGTTGGCTCACTGGGCCAAAGGTTATCGTTGTAATGGCGACCGTGATCATCCCAAGGGTTTGTTTTTTGTTTTTTGAAGCGCATTACTCATCATCCCAATTCGAAAGCGTGCTGAGATAGGATTGAAGTTTGCCTATTGTCTGGTAAGGTTATGATTAAGTTGGACCTTCGATCGGCTGTTCCACAATCTTAATTTAGTCGAAATGACAGTTCAAAGACATTCAGCGGGCCTCCTGCTTAAATAGGCAGAAGCAGACGCAAAACCATATATTTCGAGTTTAACAAGGCACTACAGCGCACTATCTGTCAATCCTGAAGTGATAGTTTACTTGTAATCTTCCGACAACCCTTGGTGATGGGTGCGTAAACAGAAACATGCAACCGCAGCTCGACATGGTTCTCCGCGGGTCGCTGTTGGCGACTCGATAATCCGACCAACTGATGGGAATCCATTGCAACCGAAGGCCGTGATAAGAATACCTAAGCCAGGGGCCAGAATTCTATCTAGTGCATCGCATGCCTTGCGAACTTGTGACAGCTTAACTCGTGAGGCGTTTACCCAGCCTATTTGTGCGGCAAGCTGATCTAAAATATACATGCCATGGTACGAAACGATCAAAAAGCCTGCCATTCAGAGTCGAACGTTGTATTCATCCTCATAGTGGCTGGTATCTCTGAAACCAATTCAGGGTTGGCTCAGAATGTTCGGCCATGAAAACCATCAAGGGCTCAACAGTTTGACTGGGCACACCCTAAAAGATAATGGAAGTTGTTTGGTGCCAGGTCTGAGGCGATCTGCTTTCTTGTTCGCATGCTGATGGCTGCTCCGTGTTTGTCAGCTACTTTGGCCTTGATGCAAGCCGCCCTTCCACCCAGTTGCGTCACTCAACGGTACCAAGGGTTCAGAATTGGAGTGCTGGGGGGACACTGATGACTCATGCGCCCTAAAATCAAGATTCCCCTAGCTCAGCGGTTCCAAGGGAAGAATAATCAGGCCAGGCTGAGCCCTTAACATAAAATGACTAAGCTTCCTCCATCATTAGGCGCTTGAAATCGCCGAGTGGCACTGAACCATGGTAAGTAGGTTCAGCAGCGGAGGATTTGTCCGCATATGCGCGCTGATGCGAGTCGTGAGCTATTAATGGCCTAGACCTTCTCGTCGGTCCTCGGCGTGTCGCCGAGATCGAGTAACGTTAGGTACGGACACAAAACCGCTCAGGATGAAGATCCCTTTCGGACCTTTTGGAGCGTTGAAAAATTTGCGACAGTCGCTACAAAGCATTGTCAAGAAAGAAAAATCCAAAAGGGTCTTGCATTCCGACCGGTGGCACACCAGCGTACCGCCGTCACGGTGAGTCGCGGCGCGACATTTTTTCTTCTATTACCTAAAAGTAGCGCCTATCATTTTCCTTAGACCTGTTCCCAAGAACAAATCTCTGATTGGCACACGACAGCAAACCCGTTTGATGGGTACATGCTGCAAGCACTTCTGGCCAGAACACGTCTACCCCTCCCTTCGGTTGCCGACATGACGCCAACTGGCCGTCAGGGACCCGTCAGGAACTTTGCCCCGGGCGGCAACGAGGAGGGCAAAGAGGGGGGAACTTGTGGGAGCAAGGGAATTGGTAGGGTTGGCAAAGCGGACCCGTCCGCCGCAGTTCCAAGTTTGTGTGTGCCGGTGGCCCATAGCATCGGTACAACTTGAACAGTTTGCTGGAGACTCTGTGATTCTGGTGTCATTCTTGCTTGTAAGAGGCACAGAAAAGAAAAGGAAAAAGAAAAAGAAAAGCTGCATCGGGGACTGGAGCCTTGTGGAACCATTTCTGAAAAACTAGCAAAAGCACAATCCGCCCTGTCGATCGCTGCAGCGCTACGGACGTCGAGGACTCTGGCTTGTTTCTAGGTTCGAATCCCCATCTTCCGACTGGCCAGAGGTGGACGGCCAAACCTCTCCGGCCCTTGCGGGCGACCCGTCCACGTCTCCATGCCGAGTCAAGCGCAAGGACTGGAACCGCGTGGCGTCGGGCTCCCTCGACAGCGTTTCAACCAGGCTTGTTTCTTTTCCCCGTTTGGCGGTATGTCCAGGTTCCCGTGCGTCACGTTGTACCTGCATCTCCCGTCAGCCTAAGGTCACCTCAGCCCTTGGCCGCCCCCCTCGCGAGGATCTTCCAGGACCCCAAGACGCCAAAAAGGGAAAAGCGCCAACATCTCCCGTTGCCGTCATGGGTCCATGGCACGCCGCCCTGCCGATGTACCGCCTCCTCGGCCCCCTCATCCTCGGGCCTTGACTTAGCCCTGACTTGGCCTTGACACAAGCCAAAAAGCGTTTGGTTCCTGAACCGTTCCTGTCATCAAACCTAATTCGGTACCCTTGGCGACCCATGAGCGATTTTCAACACCCTGGCAGGGCGCATCCCTCTTTTCCTTGTTGGGCCTTGGCCATCTTTCCTGCTGGTCGTTTGTCCGACGATGGTACAACTTTCTGTGGCCTGCCAAAGACTTGCACAATGTATCGTCCTTGCCCAGCGCCGTGTGTCTTACCACTTGTCCCCCCGTTAAGACTGTGGAATGGTAAGTTTGTCACTTTGTTTCTAACTGTAGCACCGCAGGCTGGGGTGAGGGGAAGATGCAATCTGAGTTTCCACGACCTTACTTGTCAGATTCATGGCAGCCGTTGATTTGTCCAGCGAACCCGACTCGTCAGCGTTTGGCCAGCGCCTGCAGGTCGCAGGAATTCGTCGAGTTACAAGGCACTCGACTCGAGTAACTCTGTACCTGCGGACACTCTCCAGATCGGATACGCCTTAGGCTCCTCCCCCCTTTGGCCCCCCTCTAAGAGTCAAAGAAACCAAGTCCAGTGCAAGGTCATCTTCGAGGATTGCGGCGTCTGTGGGGACAGAGCGCCTGCTACGTGGGTCTCCGTAGATGGACCGAAGGGCGAGGCACAAACTGGCAGCAGCACCTGCGGGTGACATCTCATCTTTCCGGCTGATGTTTAACGTTTTCATCCCGTCTCTTGTAGGGATGGCATTTTGGTATATAACCCCCCAGCCTCATCGCTGTCCGGGATAGTCTTGCTCTGATTACCGTCACCATTCACACACTCCCTCTTCAACTCTTCTCTTTCTTCCCCAGTCACTCCCTCGGCCGGCCCCGAAAGCTCGCAGATCAGGCATCGCTCCTTCGAACGCTCAATCAACAGCTTCACTCCTTTGCAAGCCCACACTTCCTGTCCTTTGACGACATCAGCCTCAAGATCAACAAGATCTACTCAACAGCCAGCCAAACCACACACTCCCTATCAGAAAGAAACCCACATACTTCAACTTCAGTCACAATGTTCTCCACCACTTTGACTACTTTCCTTGCCGCTTCGGTCGGCTTGGTTTCGGCCGCTTCCATCCCGATCCGGGATGCTGGCAAGTCCGGCTCCTCCAGCATGACGCCCCACGATGCCTTCTCTTCTTCCATCGGTGTTCTTGGCTGCAAGATTGACGTCAACCGTGTTGCCTACTGGCCCAGCTCTGTCGGCTGCGACGACATCTGCGTCAAGGTCTCCAACGGCGACCGCAGCGTCAACTTGCTCCGCATCGACCAGTCGGGCGGTGCCTTCGACATCTCCTACGATGCCTGGAACTACCTCAGCACCGGCCAGTCTGCCACTGAGGCTCCCACTGAGGGTGGTGGTGTCCCCATGAACTGGGAGGCTGTCCCTGCCAGCGAGTGCAAGCACCTTCTCAAGGACGGCAAGCTACCCCTCTCTGCTGCCAACAGCATGAACTACCTGTCCTCTTGCCTCGCTCAGCCCGAGAGCTTCGTGGCCAAGAATCACGTCCTCTACAATATTCAGAACTCTGCTTGCACCTGGGGTGTTGATGAGGTATGCAACCTCGACCTGGCCGTCAGCAACCAAGCCTCGTGCCCCAGCGGTCTCGGCAGCACCAAGGCATTGACCGACCTTCCTGTCGAGAACATCGCCTACGGCACTGGCAAGCTTTCCGTCGCTGTTCAGTGAACGCGCAAAAGCACAGGTTGCCCCTGTCAAAATACCAAGAAATGATGCATACGAAGCTTTATGATACATGTATATACTTTATAGAAAGGGATTAGAAAAAGATAAAAGGAATCATTCACTATTATCAACATTTGATTAAAGCGCTTCAGTGATGTGATGTTTTGACTGGCGATGATATTCCTAACCCATACGAACAAATCTCAATGAACCAAGAGCCATCATCAGCTACATGGAGACCAGCCACATTTGGGAGCTAGACGCAAAAGGCGGCTCGGGACATGCAAACGATGATCGTCGACTGGACGACGTTTGTCCTCAGTCAGGCTTACATCTATCTGTCAAATGCCAATCCCACTTGCACGAACGACGAAGCGGTTGATCAACGAACCAAGACATGTCCAAGGGTTGCGAAAATGATCATGGGTATCCTATTAGATTATCCACAGGCGGATAGTGTTAAAATTAAAGTATACGGGTATACTGGTATACCACATCTTAGACACATGCCTCCTAACCTCGATCCACCCTAGTCCGAACACCTTGAACGCCTCGTACCAGCAACATGACGTACTAATAGGGGCCAACGAAAGAAACAATTATAGCCCCACTGCTTCCAAAATGCCTTGTCAAAGGAGCCATCACATCCGGTTCCTTCCAATATTCCTCCTCGTATGCGAAATGACTACGATGATTGTTTGACAATGCGAGCGTAACCCCGAACTACAATGGCGTCTAGCACTATGCTCAGGAGCCACTCCCATTGTATTGACCTGATATCCTCGCCATCTCCGCTGCGACCCTTGCCTGATGCTGGGTCATGCTCGATCGGGCGTCGGTGCCTTGGTAGGAAACACGGTAGGTGCTGCTATCCTGCGATGACGGCTGGGTTTGGTAGGAGCTCAGTCGTCGCTGCGACAAAACTCTCTGTGATTCTGCTGTCGAGTTTGTATGAGAAAGGTTTGTCGAGGATTGGCTAAGGTTGGTCTAATCAGCCTCACACCTTACACCCCTCTGCGAATTCGGCTGCTGAAACGGTACGATGCTCTCGGTAGACCGGTTGCCCAGAGTACGAACTCATGATTGCAGCCCTTCCGCTCGAAGCGGCACGGAAGGTGTCTAAACGCCACACAAATCGAAAGACCGCAAGCGCGGTCGTTACAATGGGCTGTATGGAAACGTGGGCCCGGGTGCTTTTCGTTCGGTTGTGATGCCGAACGTTGCTCGTCCAACGTTACCATTCGCGAGGATCACAACAACGTCGAAGCCGTTCGCATCCACCCAGTCGTTAAGTCCCTATTTCGAGCATCTTCCAAAGCATGTAACGCATCCGTACACCCAGGAAGATCGTAGCTGGAGCTGGGTCAGTTCAATACGAAGTCGGTCATTTCTGCGTAGCGCACACGGTTTTGCTGCTCAGTGTACTTCGATCTACCGTCCATCAGAGCGAAGCCGGGGTTGATCTGCCGATGGTCAACGCCTTCCAGACGAGGACACTTTGGGACATTGTCGTATCGCAGCAAGTCGTCCCAAGCTGTCGCAATCATCTCACAACGTTCGGTATCGATCCACGTTTGCAGACTGTCCAGGGAAAGGCTGTTTGGAGTAACTCTCCGCGAGCGGGAAGTCAGTCTCGGTGATTCTGGCGCCGAGCCCCTCCAGGTCAATTCGACCTTGCTCCCACAGCCCTCGAACGGCTTCCGATCAGATGGCCGAGTACCCAGAAGAAGTCTACTTTCCATTATAGCACTTGAGCATCGCGATATATTTCCCTCCCAACGCGCTGTTATTCATCAGAGACAAGAAGTCTTTGGGGCGAACCTTGGAGCTCAGTGAAATCTGTACGGTGGCCTGCTCCCGCCAAAAGTTACATTTTGGGTGTGCATCGTCGGAGACCACCACGTTCAACAGAGCCAGCATGTCGGCGACAAAGCTATTCTTTGTCTCAAATGTCGTATGTGAAAGACCATCGCGCTGCTGTTCGGATGAAAACTAATAAGCTGGCAAAATGGTAACGTAAAAGAGAATAACGTGGACTTTGATGCACTACAAGCTGCTATCCAATGGTTATATTTCTCTGTTCCCACCAAGTGTGCAGTTTTGGGGCGCCAGAGCACAGAATTTCTATGGGTGTTTCAAGTAAAAACCTGTCGATAATGTCAGGTGGAGCGATGTTTAGATCGTCAAGTCGGAAAAGTCGTTGCCCATATTCCCGCAACATCGTAGAGAAGTTCGGTGCTATTTCCGGTATTTTCAGCAGCTGATAACCTCGTTCTAGGAGTCCAGTGCCCCTTAGAGTTTCAATGACAGGCTTTGCCTGATCTGTTTCAACCTCGTAAGCTGGGTTCTCTTATTATAAACTAAGGAAGCTTACTCATGCCGAAAGTTTCCATCTCCCGTTCAGTTTCGACAATACGATACTTACTAAACATCGGGTTGGTAGTCTCCAGCTTTTGTGCTTGAATATGCATGTTGTAAAGACTGATCTCAAACGGGCCACCGTATGTTGCCCAAGCTTGCCAGAAATCTTGGTTGTGGACTTTCTCCACGTAATGAACTAAATCATCAATGATAGCTTTCTCAATGATCCATTCCACGCTCTCCAAGTTCCAGTATGCGGAGCCAAAAGAGTCGATGGATCGGCCTAAAACATTGGCGGAATTGCTAATAATAGTACGCATGAAGTCAGTGTTCGCCATTCTCGATCTCCATATTGTTGGAGCTTTGATATACGACTCAAAGGTTTGTCGTATGCTGAAAGGCTGTACGACGATGGCCTCTGAATCTAACCACAGCGAGTAGTCGTAGTCAAACTCTATTGCTGCCGCCATCTTCTTAATCGTCTGGAACTGGTACTTTCCGCGCCCCTTTAAAAGTGCTGAAGTATCATTATTAGTAATATTGCCGTTCGTGATAAATCGGAAGATTGGTGGGAGTATGTCGTATAAGTTGATTAAGTTAATCTTCGGCCTTGAACCGTTGACATTTACTGCTGGTGTATGAAATATGCTGAAAGATAGTCCACAGGTTTTCAGACTGTTCATCGCGTTTTGAAACATATTGACTTCGTTGGAGTCGGACATAATTATATGAATGTCAATATCCGCGTGATCAGTGCAAAGGCACATGAATGATTGTAAGAAGTCGATTGCAAGCGGGATATGTTTGCTCTGCATATACACTTACTCTTAATCGTATTCTCCAAACCATGGTTCTAGGGGAGTAGGGAACTTACATATGTCGGCAATATAATGGCATATTTCAATTCACTAAGATTTACTAAATCTGACGTCTTGTTCTTGGTCAGAATGCTGTATAGAGCATCTTCCTTGTTGTTATGCTTTCCTGCTCCAGTAGGATCAAACGAGGCTTGGGAGTCTGTTGATGCTAAATCGAAGTATCCTGTGGGAAACATGGAGCTTAGGTTAAATTGCGACAGAATGTAGCTGAACAACACCGTCAGGACTACAACACAAAGAAAGAAGGTCAAGGCCAGAAAGCGAGCCTCTCTGGCCTGCATTGAGAATCTTCTAGCGAAAAGCATGGCTCACAACCGGTCTTCGTTTCAAAAATAAACGAAACAAAATGCAAAGAGCAACATGGCCAGCCTTTGTACTTTATAATGTACGACTAAATTCCGCTCGGTACAAGACTGTAAGGGTCTTACGCAGTTCTCCTAAGAAATCGCACTAAGACAAGGAAACCCTATCAAGACTTTGCCTTTTTATTCTAAGTTTTACTACTCACGTTTTCATACAGCCTCTTGGAAGTATATTTTAGGTTGCTAGGATCTAAGGCGTTATCACTACTAGCAGTTTTATAGATCAGTAATCAAACTTAAATTTACTTCTAATCAGTAATTACTATCCATTTGAAATCTCTGCGCTGATATCTTACTATGGTCGCCAGGATAAGTTGAGCATCCCTCGTAGGTCACTTACCTCCTTGTATCTCAATGGCTTACACAATCCAAAAGAAAACGATATCAATCCTTATATATAAGAGGCAGCATTGGAATAGTGAACCTGATGAGGGGGTGGGGGTTACGCCTGCAACGACAGTCCTATCGGTAATGCAGTGCGCTTCGATGCTGTCGATCTATACCCACTTTTACTCTTCACTTAGGGAAAATACCTTTTCAAGTCTTTGAAACTTTCCTCTGAGATCTCATAAATGTGGAGAAGGTTTCGAGGTAGCCTGGTATGTAAATAGCCTTGTATTCTATCGACTGGCAATCTAAGCCATTCTTGCCAACACATGTGATACCCACTCAAGTACTCAGTTTTACTACACACTTCAATCAAGATATTACGAAACATCGAAATGTCCAGGAGAAACTGCAGCTAATGAAAAGGGTGGCCAGTAACAGCATATCGGGTGGGTGTTGGAATAACGACACCACCTGACCGTACGATATGCACGACTCAAGGACACGCACAGGGGAAAAGGGCACAGTCTGGAGACTCGGCCCTCGGTTATACTAATGAGGGGATCAAAGTATGTTCATGCCGTACTGATTCAGGGAGGTAGATCATATATCTCGTGTACGAAAGCCGAGTCTTGTAGTTAGGAAGATAATCACGGACAATACATCTTTGGTTCATCCTACATTGAAAGCCAGCGTACGATCGTACCACCGGGTGCCCTCAGGAGAGAGAATCCATTCAACAGTGGGTATCATTTATATGGTTTTCCGAGAGCCAATGATTGAACTGATAAGGTGACCGTGTAGGATAGATTAGTAACAGATCTCGAATGGTTTCGCCAGGTTGTAATAACTTGGATGTGTGTGCTCGCGTGTGTGCCTTTACTCCCTCACCTTGGTGGATGGAGAATGCACATTGCACACGCCAAGTAGTTGATGAGAAGGTGCGATCGGAAACTCAAAAGTGTCTCTTTCTTTCTCTCGCTCAAAGACCGTGCCTGACCTCCTCTCGCTTTCTAAAGCATTTCAAACTCTGTCGAGTCCGTGTAACCAACCAACTGAGCCATTCCGTGTGCTAGCCTTCCCCTTATGCAACTGTACCCTTGTTACCTAGATCCAATTTCTTAAGTTCTGCGCACGGTCAGTTCCCTACTTGTGACCTTCACTACCCATGTACCATCAAGCGGTAGTCTTACAAACCATGACCGCATATCCTTGGTAATCTGATATATCGTGCGTGCTTTCAGTCAAGCACAGAACATATGAGAAGAAAATGTTTTCCGGGATACCTGATCCAAACTTTGCTGGTCATGGAAACAGAAATTTATTTTCCGCCTTGTACCTCTGCATCGCAAAACCTAGCGTGAATCGACATTCAGGAGCCAAGGCCGGTGGGAGAAAGCCGAGAAGCTAGAGGTTCAGGTGATGGAGACGGGTAGGATGACGCTTGGGGCCGATCATCCCGACACGCTGACCAGTGTGGCCAACCTAGCTCATACATGGGAAAAACCAAGGCCGGCGGGTCGACGCAATCCAATTAATGCGCGACTGTCTTGGACTCCAGCCACGCTGCCTTGGAGTTTATCATCCCGACACCAGGTCCTCCCCTTAAAATGTTCAGGAGTGGGAAAAGGCTCTAATTGCGAAGAAGCGAATCAGGTTTAAGAGAGATTTATGTAGACGATGAGAGCTGCGCTTGAAACTGATGAATACTAGTAAATGAGTGATCACCAGGTGCTTTTGCTATCTCGGGCGCCTTTTTGGCGAGGTGGCCACCTGAACGGACTAGTAGTTGGGTTTTGGTCCGCGGCCATTTCTGGCTCTGTCAGGGGTTGCTTCTTGAGTACTTCGTCACTACAGGTGTGATCTATGAAGCCAAATAAGCCATAGTCCCACTCCACAACTACTAAAAATGCTAATTAAAGCTTTGGCGAAGCCCATTACGCCTTTCACTGTAGTCATCCGTAGATCGGAAAACAGACTCAGAGTTATCAACTCTTTATTGTTATTTTATGGTTTGAATAAGTGGTGTGTGCGGAGCAGCTTGCAAAACGATGGTGGACAAGCGATCTGGCCCAGCTACGTCGAATTCCACACGTATTGGAGAAGCCGCACGCGAGCGGAGAGGCGCACGGGAGTGACCTGGGCCGACTTGAGAGAAATGGCGAAGGGCGCCTCGAAACAGTACCACAGCGTAATTCGTCAACATAAGAAGCACTGGAATAAATTCCTGGCGGACAACGACAACATATGGAAGGCTGCTAGGTACCTGAAAGCAGGTGATGAGGAGGCTTTCGGCAAGGTGCCGCAGCTGGTCAGGACGGACAAAACGACGACGACGAGCCACACGGAACAAGCGGAAAAGCTACTCACCACCTTCTTCCCTGCTTTGCTAGACGACATTGCAAAGAAAGACGACAGACTGCAGAGAGCCGCGGTGTAGATACCATCTATCACGATAGAGGAAGTGGAACACCAGCTGTTTGCGCTAAAGTCTTGGAAGGCGCCGGGAGATGACGGGCTTCCGGCAGTGGTCTGGAAGCAGAGATGACCGGTGGTGCGGGACTGGGTCCTGTCGATTTTTCGGGCTTTTGGAAGAGGGAGCACTGCCTCATCTATGGAGGCATGCGAAAATCATACCGCTCAAGAAACCAGGCAAAGTCAGGGCCAATAAGCGTTGTTAAAAGCCGTTGCGTCGGTGTTAACAGGGCCCGCTGCCCGGCATCATTACAGGCGGCAGCGAGACTTTCCGGATGGACCTGGTGCTTTACAATATGGATGTTGGCTAAAACTCGCACGAAAAGTCAAGACGCTGTTCTCGCTAATAATCTGTTGACTTAGCATGATAAGTTAGCCATCGCAAAGAAGTCCCCATTTGTAAATCGGTGGGATACCGAAAACAACAGGCCTGCTAGCTTCGGAGTGGACCTGCCGGCCGCCGAGCGTTTATCTGTATCCGCCAGTTTGCTACATAGTATTGGGACAACATTGACCACCCGAGGTGTTCAACACTTCGACTATAAATATCTCCAGGCTCCCCACACTAAAGCTTTCAAGTAGATTGAGAGACAGACTATTTATTAAGCTGTTCAGGTTTACTCGGAACAATGAGTGGTAGTCCGAGGTATCTACAGTGAACAAATTAGCCGACTTTGCATTTCCAACCAACCTAGCTTCTAGAATCCACTCTTCATTTTTCTTCTATCTAGCTCTCTAACGGCTTACCTTGGTGCATGAGCCATACGGAAACACATACAGGACCTTGAAATGGCACTGAAGTACGTCAACAAGCTGGAAGGCAAGTCTGTCCTCATTGTCGGCGGATCATCAGGTATCGGGTTCGCCGTCGCGGAAGCCGGCGTTGAGTTTGGTGCGCGTGTAGTAGTCGCAAGCCGAAGCCAGGAAAGAGTCTCCAAGGCGATCGAAAGACTTACGGCATCCTATCCTAACGCAAAGGATCGCATTCGGGGCCACGTAGTAGACCTCTATGGTGATGAATCAGAGAGTAACATCACGAAGCTCTTCGAGTTTGTCACCAAAGGCGGAAAAGACAAGGTCGACCATGTCATCGAGACGGCGGGGGAGAATCTCAACACCTCGCTAACGCTGCAGGAGGCCACGCCGAAGCGCATCGCTGAAGCCAGCAGCTCACGAGTCTCTGGGGCCGTTATGCTTGCCAAAGTGGCCTTCAAATACCTCAAAAAAGAGCATACGTCTTCTCTCACTTTGACCGGCGGAGCGACCGCACACAAGCCGCCGCTAGGAATGAGTGTATTGGCAACTGTTGGTGGCGCTAAGGATGCGCTGGCAAGGGGACTCGCGGTCGACATGAATCCTGTGAGAGTAAACCTCGTCTCTCCTGGAGCGGTGCAGACAGATATGCTTGATTCTGTGCTCGAAAACATGAAGTTCGGAAGAGCCTGTGCGGATCTCAAAGTTGTCCGGGCCTTGTTTAAGGGTGCATCGTTGATGGGAAGGATCGGAGACCCAGAGGACCTGGCTGAAGCCTATCTATCGCTGATGAAGAATCACTTTGTTACAGGAACAATACTGCATGTAAATGGCGGTCTTTTATTGAAGTGATCCGGCCTCCTCAGCTATTTAAATCACCTAGGGAAACATAGGACAATAAGGCCCCCCAAGATTCGGTTCAAAGTCGTGGGTCTTATTTTAGCCTCGTTAAGTCATTTTCGTCCAACTGGCAATCACTCATAGAAAGTCATGTAGTCGAAAAAGTCTCTCTCAGTCATTGATGCGACGTTGCTAGACCCTTTGTTCTTCTCTCGTGCCGTACCTGTCGCACTAATGCAAACGAGTGAAGTTCTTCAGCGCCAGGCTGCAAGGAAAACGAGAAAGTCTGATTAGACAAAAGAGCCCTGAACTTGAGCAGAACAAACAAGAAACCAGCGGAGAAGTATATCTGGTCGTTCCAGATCACTGAAGTTCAGGGACCTGTGACACTCTGGCCAAAAACTTCTCGTGCGGCAGCTACAGACCATTTTCCGAGTCAGCTTTCATCCCAATTCCGCACATCAGACTGGAGCATGACAGCGGGGGAACGCAACATTGGATGATGGAGAAGGTATTGGATTCTAGGGTAACTAGAAAAAGGCAGGTGTTGAGGAGACTAGAGTACTACGTGAGATGGAAAGGGCACCATGTCTCATGGCAGCCTCGGAAGAATTTGATTCTCGGTAGCGAGGAATTGATGTACGTCTTCCATAATCGACAAACCTGCCTATCTATGGCGTCAACGCCTCACAGAGAGATGCGTTCAACTCGGTGCGGTAAGTTCGATCCAGCATCCTCAAAGCCTTCTTTCTTCTTATTCATTATTCCTACCGATTAACACTACTGTCTTGTATTGAACAAAACATCACAATAATACTATTTCTGGTATCCACTTGTGAAACGACAATCATGCCGCTACCACCTCAACAGTGTCGAGAGTTGCCCTTATAGTAGCCCAACAAGTGACATATAGTTTCTGCCCATATTTGCGAACTTCCATTTACTAGTGTATACTAAGTGGTTCAATGGTTTTTGTTATTTTTCGCCAAAAAAAAAGGTCTTCCTCGCCATTCCTGCCCCTAGGTCTTTCTTATAGTTTCACCGGGTTAAGTTACAGCTTTCAAGCCAAAAAGAAATCGATATGAGGGTAATTAAACTTAACAACTACGGCAATGTTGCATACTCAGAATGAAGAGTTTAGACGCTCACTTTATGCGAGGGCTGTGTATCGAAGAACCGGTGATTCCTGATTCGTTCGTGCGGGCTTCGGGCGTGGTTTTAACTGTTTTTCATATACATCGATATTGGTGAGGCTGCCTCTGCTTTTTTTGATCTCAACTTCGTTAATCTTCGCTCGAAGTCTACTTTTCGTGCTCATCAGAAAAGTCCTTCCATCGAATGTTTAGTCCTTCCGGATTGTCTGCCGAGTTGGCCATAGAAACGTATCAGTCTGTCAAACTTCCGGAAACGCCAGCATCATGCTGTTAGTTCTGTTTCTTCCTATCGCCATGCAATTGATACTGTTGGCCAAAGCGGTTGAAGGTATTCTTTTGAGCCGGCTTGCTGTGGGCCAACGTCGGAATGAGCAGGGAATGTCGAGTAGGGAACGACGACCCCAAGTGCTAGAACAGTGCTTTTGGTGAGTTGTGATTCGGCTCTCGCTAATGTTTGACGCTAGCTACCCCGTGGTTGCCGACTCGAAATACCCAAAACAGTTGAGAGGTTATCGGGAAATTAGCCCAGTGATATCCTGGAACGCAACTAGCTGCAACTAATCGTCTCCAATATTAACGAGATAGGACTTTTGATAGTATTTGTGGTTGAATGAACGCCAGCGATGGCATACACCTTATGCCCCTAAGCCTCAGCCTGAAGTCTGCTCACCCTGGAGCTTCATGGATATATGTTAGCAGTCAGAATACAACAACTGTGCACACCCATGTGATGGTATCTATGGCCGTTTCAAATCAACAGGTCATCTGCAAGGGCAAAAGATCTGTACCTTGGCAACTACGACTAAGCTAACCCCTAATGAAGCAATCCAGTGTGGATAACCACGGCATGAATTCCAACGTTTGAGGCATATTCTCGTACGTATTTCAAGCAAGAAAGAGGGCTGTTCGATAACGAGAAGGAAAATTAAGTCAAAATGGTTCTGTTGTGGTCCTTTGATATTCCCCGCTGAGTATGGTTGACGGATCATTCATTGAGGCCCCGTCGATAGAGACATCCCATGATGGGGTCAACTTCCGTGACTTCATGTGCATTCGCTACCAATCATGACCTCATACATTCAGTATTCGGCGGAGCTATTCTTTTGAAATCTCGAAAAGGTCATGGAACATAGTAATGGAGGAGGACAGAAGCATGAAAAAGAGCTTGCGCACCAACGGCTCGGTGCTGTTAGCTTGTCCTCATATGTCTTTCTGATGCCTTCAAGGCAACACTGAAACCTCCGGTAAATGAATATTAGCTGTGGAATCGGCCCTTTGACCGAGTTACATCGTGTTCTCAGCAACAAGCTTGAAATATCCAATACCCCACCGCGGAGTAAGCGCCGAGCTCATCCCCACATGAACGACATCTCCGAGGCAGTCACATATTTGCTCAGATTCCGCCAAGACGTCCTAACCCACCACACCACCGAAGAGAAGCCTCTCACCCGCGCTCTCCTTTGACTTTAGGTAATTAGATTGCTCGATAGACATCCATCCTAGCAAATATGCAGGGTGGTACTACCACCCTACGCTGTGATTGGGGCGTGATGTCGATCTGCGCCAATTCAGTGGGTGGAGATGATCAGATAAGATCATCTAATCCATCTTCAAGCCGCTCTGCTAGCGTAAGGTTCACAAAGGTGGGAACCTTGATTTTCATGCTCGGCGAGATCATCCGACCTTGGGGTAGGAGGCCCGCCTCTGAGTGGCTATTGGGGCAGACTTGAGATGGCGTGGTGGGATTGTTCGAATTGCCCGGTGGGATGACATTGGGTAGTTAAGCTATCTCGCGCTATCTGACACTCATATGTATACCCTTGTTCTCCCATGTAGCACAACTCATATTAGCGAGCTCTGAGGGTTTCCTGCTCGAACAATTTGCACCTGATATTTTGGACACGACACAAACTACGATTCATCATGGACGGCACGAAGCTTCCCGAGATCCCAGCTCTCACTCTGCATGAAGGGGTCGTAAAAGGACAAGTCGACGCCGAGCGGGTCTCCACTGACTGGCTTACCAAACTGGAACGCCGATTTAGCGAGCAGTCCTTCGGCGACTTATCAGACTTGTTCATCGACAACTGCTGGTGGAGGGACATTGTCGGGCTGTCATGGGATTTCACCTGCAAGCAAGGTCAAGAGAGCATCAGCAAGTACCTTGCCTCAGCAGAACATGGCCTCTCAGACTTGCAAACCGCCAAGATTGGCGGGCTGAAGCCGCTGCTTCTCGACTTTGGCGGGATGATTTGGATCCAAACCGGATTCACTTTCAAAACCCTACATGGTGAGGGGAAGGGGCTGTTGAAGCTGGGAAATGTTGCAAAGGACGAGTGGAAAGCCTGGACTGTGTTCACGCAGCTCGAAAAGCTCAACTTTCAAAAGGAGGTAGAGGCGCAGAGGGCTGCGTCGGTTCCGCTGCCTAAGGAGCCTGTCACTAACGGCGTCAATGGCCATGCCAACGCCGACTCTAAAGAAGACCTTCAGGTCCTGATCGTTGGCGCTGGTGGGTCATTGCAGAGCCCGTGATAATTTCACCGTTCTTTCCCAGCTAACATGGAACAGCCCAGTCTGGCTTGATGCTCGGTGCACGTCTACAGCACATGGGGATCAAAACCCGCCTAGTAGAGAGGAGCGCCCGTCTCGGCGACTCGTGGCGAGAACGATACCAGAGCGTAACCCTTCACACGCCAACCTACACTGACCACTGGCCCTTCATGAAGATCCCTGAGACCTGGCCCCGGTTCCTGACGGGAGACAAGATTGCCGAGTTCATGGAGCACTACGGCCAGCTCATGGGACTTGACATCGTCTTCAACACGGAAGTCACCAAGGTCACGTACGACGAGAAAGGCCAAAAGCACCGAGTCGACGTCCGGACGCCGGAGGGAACGCGGACGATCTCGACACGTCATGTGGTTCTGGCGACGGGCGTATATGGCGATCAGCCCAGGATCCCTCGCTTCCCTGGACAAGAGGATTTCAAGGGACAGATCTACCACGCAAAGTATCACAGGACCGCCGGCGAGATACCTGACATCAAGAACAAAAAGGTGGTGGTCATAGGCTGCGCCACGAGCGGCCACGACATCTCGGCGGACTTTGTCACGCACGGCGCGAAAGAAGTGACGATGGTCCAGCGACATGCGATTTACTCCATCTCGCGGGAGTCGTGGGAGAACTTCATACTTTCGTTGTGGAACATGGAAGGGCTGAGCACGGAAGAGGCGGACATAGTTGGAAATGCGATTCCACTGGCACTGATTCGGACGATGAGCATTGGGTTAACGCAAGCGATGGCAGAAAACGACAAGGCCGTTCACGACGGTCTCAAAAAGGCTGGCCTCGAACTAAAGGAAGGGCATGACGGGTATGGTCTGGCAGACTACCAGCTTATCAAGGGTGGGCAGTATTATATCGACCAAGGGGCAAATCAGATGATCATCGAAGGAAAGATTAAGATCCAGCGATGTGAGGAGGGAGTCAGAGAGTTTCAGTCTGACGGTCTGACCTTGGCGAACGGCACCAAGCTGGAAGCGGATGCTGTTGTGCTAGCGACGGGATTCGAGAGCAACGTGACAACCATTGAGAAGCTGTTCGGGCCCGAAGTGGTTGAGAAGATTGACGGGTTTGGAGGTTTGGATCACGAGCAGGAGCGCTCAGGGGTAAGTTCTACCACGCCAACTCTGACTCACATCATACTGACTGGCTGTTCTCTAGTGGTGGAGAGCGACAGGCGTGCCTGGATTTTGGTACATGACTGGCAGCTTCATGTATTGCAGACAGTTCTCTCTGCCGCTGGCACTACAGATTGCCGCAGTCGAAAAGGGTCTTAACAAGTCATACTACGGCGGCAGATGATGTCGAAACGAAGATTGATATGGAGCACTCGCTGTAAGTTGCTCTTGACTGGTGGTCAGTCGATGGTGGAGGGAGGTAGCCGGAGGGAAAATGCAGGTGGGAATGGATTCTTTAAACGTGGCAGTCGGAAGATCTAATTCAACATCGAGCATAAACAACACGAAAGAGGATTACCTTGGCTTTCGGGCGTTGACCTCGCCCCAAGCCTGCAAGAACCCATGTTCTGTATATCGCACTTGTCACTATGGTCGAATTCTCTGGCGAGCCCCATAGCCATTTGCTACAAGTCGTAACGACTAAACCAGAGCGTAGTTCGACTCAGAGCGAGAAATAATTCATATAGAGTTCGTTCATAGAATAACAAAATGGAAAGTTTTAGCGATGTGAGGTCCAGATCGCTTCCTAAGCGACTCACCCTGTCCTGCTCCAGCACAAAGCATAAAACTGCGCCCATGCTTGTAACGGGTAAGATCCATCTACTTCGGTTTCAATACCATTTTGGTCTTAGGGTCTATAGTGTTTACTCAATATGGGAATGCTAGAAACCGTATACGTTGCGAACACTCCAACACAAAGCCGTGCCTGGCACATTCATGTTTGTCGTGCTCTTTTTGGGTGTTGACTTCCATTAACATGCTTTCCTATCCGAATGAACACTTTCTGGATTGTGGATTGACGTCTTAAGATTAGTGCTTAAGACAATTCATGTGCTTGTGCTTGTGCTTGCCAAGTCGGTAACCGTAGCTCTCACCTCAGTTGACAACACGAGGACCATAAGCCACGGATGGAATCATTGCAATTGAACCGTAAGCAAAGTCAGCGTATCAACACAGGTCAGACTTCTTTGTTGCGTTCCGTAGTTAAATGAAATAGGTCTCAATATCATCTTGAAGTAGCAAGAGGAATTGATAGACAGCCACAATGGCGCATTGCCTCAATCATCCATATGTTTGAAGCTGACTGGAGTCTCCAAGTGAGGAATGTGGATCCTCCGTGTAAGACAGGCACCGCACTCACTATCAGCACGTGACAGCCTAGGCACCGCCCGATAAGGATAAGCTCCGGAGAAGTGTCCTCTAATCGCCCCAAAGGGTCGACGACCCGGGATCGACCAGCTGGCAATAATCCACCACCGCGAATCACTACCTTCACGATCCCACGTTTGCCCTTCACGACCGCAGCCGCCTTCACCACTGCTTCACGACAAAAAAGATACCCCGAAGGCGATCCCTCAGCACCCGAGACACGCGCGACTCTTCCACATTCCGCTCCCCCTCCCATTCCGAACCCACCAAACAACCACATCTACACATCTCGAACCACACACAACAAAGGGACCGCCCAACATGTCGGAACTCACGCACTTCGACCTCCTCCCCCTCCAAATAGACCCCCAGTCCAAGGCCATCTCCTCGCCGTCGCCGTCGCGTGCCCTCGCCGCCGAGCTCGCCCAGCTCAACGCGCTCCACCGCTCCCTCGTCACCTCGGACACCACCGGCCCGCACGGCGTCCCGCCCCCGCCGATGCCCGTCAACCCCAAGCGCTCCGCCAACGTCGCCAAGCTCCGCGATAGCGGCAACGCCGAGTTCCACAAGAAGAAGTACGCCGAGGCCATCAAGTTCTACACGCTCGGCCTGCAGATGGCCCTCACCCGGCCCCTCTGGGAGCCCTCCCAGCTCGTCCGCGAGGAGGTGTCGGGCCTGTACGCCAACAGGGCGCAGGCGCACATGGCGCTGCAGCAGTGGGCCGAGGGCTCCGTCGACGCCGAGGCCAGCGTCGAGGCGCGCAAGGTCGGCAACGCAAAGGCGTGGTGGCGCCGCGGGAGGTGTCTGATTGAGATGGGCCGCCTCGAGGAGGCGAGGGAGTGGGTCGGCAAGGCGCTCGAGTTCGAGGGCGAGGAGGCGGAGCTCGTCGCCCAGTACAAGGATATCGAGGCGCGTCTGGAGAACAAGGACAGCGCTTGAAAGATGCAATAGGATATGGTCCAGAGAGTTTTGTATCCTTAACTGGAAAAAAAATACCATGGAGTCGCGGACGAAGGCAGGAGACTTTGGACATCCGGCGATCCATCTTTTTTGTCTTGCCAACAGAATACCCACGAGAGTCAGCAAGGCAGAGAGAGGTGGAGTGAGAGGAGCACAAGATTCGAGCTGTTAGAGTTAGCAGAGGGAGTACGATGGGAAACACGCATCATTGTACAGCATGATACGGTGGTTGCGTCTGGCATCGGCATTACATACGGCCGCCCTCTTGCCAATGATTTCTCTGGGGCTCTCACGAGGCAGGTTAGCCGCACGGAGACGCCTTCACTTGTAAACTTGACAGCATCATGATGGGTTGGTTGCATCGGGTCATTAGCATTTCTAGTATAACCACGTGTACCCAACCCAATACACCCCAGTTTGGCCAAGGAAATCCATGCCGTGATCCGATGCGATGCCTGTGCGATTGATGCTTCGGGGTAAAGAAATATGTAACACAGCCGGAGCACCGAAATCAAACACCATTTAAACACTATGCGTGGGATGCCATCACTGCGTCAGCGCTCCGGTCATCCTCTGGATATCCCAACAGACCAGAAAGCAACGTTTGTCAACCTGATTTGTTTCCACAGCGGCCCTGTCCCTGTCCCGATCCCATTATTCCTCTTTACTTCCATTCAGAGGCGTATCGGCGGCCTCATCTCGTCGTGGGTTTTGCGCGACGGAGGTTTCCCCAAGAGTGAGTGTCCGAACCGACTCCATGACCTGACTCTCAACGCCATCATTCTCTGTCCCTGTTGGAACTTGCCCGTGGCGGTTCGGTCCCGGTTCTCGTATTATTCCTTTGTTTGATGCGGTGAAGATGGACTGCCACGGCCATCTTCTTGTGATCGAGGTTTGCTCGGCAGGCTCCTACGCCGCCTGGGCAGGCTTCTCGTTCAGGGTCTTGCCACGCGGCCGCATGACGGCGTCCTGGCTGCTCATCCTCCGGTCCAGCGCACGCTCCAGCTTGGCGCCAAGGGCCAGCTTGCTCATGTTTGCGCTCTTCTCCTCGCTCAGGGTGACTCTCTGGGAGCTCAAAGCCTTGTTCTCCATGCGGTCGAGGCCGGTCGCGATATCGGTGATCTCAGCGTGAGCCGAGTCGGTCGTCTGGACAGTGTTGGCGAATGAGGGCGCCATGCTGTAAGTGCTGTATCGCACAGAGGTACGCACCTGTGGAGGGCTTTCTGTCAGAACGGCAGTCATTTTGGGCGAGTGTAAATAAGGAGGGAGGAGACTGGACTCGAGGGAGGGGCCGAAGGGGTGGTAAATGGGATTATGACAAGAGAACGGGGGGAAATCAGGGCAACAAGATCGGCCAAGTGGGTGCAGAACGGGGCCGGGAGTCGCAGCGTTCAAGAGAAGCAAAAGGTAAAAGTGCTGTCGAAAGCGAGGCGGTGCAGGCGAGAACAGACGGACGCAAGACAGATGTAGGTGGGCACAGCGAATGTAGAAAAAGGCAAGATCAGGAGACGAGCAAAGGGAGACGTACCGAGGGTGCCATGATGGGACGGGACGAGTCGAGAGAGGTGGGCATTGTGACTGGTTTTTTTTTGGGTTCGACGAGATCCCTGCGTAAAAAAGGTTTGTCGAGTTTGACCGTCCAGTCTCAACAATGGTTCGAGTTTCCACAGGCCGGGGCTTGCTTCACTTCTGTCTGACCAGCAAGCAGGCCAGCGAACAGGGCGATTGGTGGTGGATTGGATTTGCAAATTGGGACGAGATGCGGGTGCGTTGGTTTACTTTGGTTTGCGGCAGCGGTAGCCAAGGTACGGCGTAGCGAGAAGCGTAGCGGCAGCGGTGGCTCTCGGTGGAGGAGGAGGAGGAGGCGGCCGTGAGCGACACTCTCGTTCGCTTCGGGGGGTGTACTGTGCGTGCGTTCGGGTGCGTATGCGAACGGATTGGGTACGTGTGTGATGGGGCGCGTTTGGGTGAAGTCACTGGCGGGACTTCAGGAATCAGGGGACTTGATCCAGGGAACCAAACTTGTTTACTCGCAGGCGAGATTGAGATTCGGGGTGGACGATCGATGGGTCTGAACTGGGGGAGATTTGGGTCGTATCGTGACCGTCGTCGAAACTGGTTCCAGCAAGAACGAAAGAGGAGAAGGAAAGAGGAGAAAAGGCAGAGTTAAACGGTTGTGATTTGATAACGAAGGATCGGACTAGGTAGGCACTTGGACGCGGACGTGGAAGTGGAAGAGGAGAACACGGGAGACGGGCCAGATACAGCTTGGAAGTCGTGGCGAGCGTGCGGGAGAGCGGAAATAATATCGAGCAGAGCAGCGGCTCCAGTGGGTGGTGGTGGTGGTGGTGGCAGTGGAGGCGGAGGGCCAGAGGGGGAAAGGAGGGAAGGAGGCCGGGAGGTGACGGAAAAAGAGGCCTGGGACGAGCTAGGTTAGGTACCCAGTTAGGTAGCAGATCAGGCACGAGCAAAGGGTACGTACTGTCTTGGTCGGGTACCTACCCTCCCTGAAGGTTTAGGAGCTTTCAGACAGGGCAAGGAAAGAGAGCAAAAAAAGGAGAGAGGCACACCCGCAGCAGCAAGCGGCTTTCAGCCTGTGTGCATGTCTGGGAAAGGGCGCCTCATCCTCAAACAGATTAAACTAGGAGAAGGGAGACACGATAGGATATAGCTACGCATACACATCTCAGCAAGCCAAATCAGGTGGCTTGGGGGCGAGAGACAGGCAAGAGCCACGCAGACAGGATGAAAAAGGGAGACAGAAACCCAGAGGAAAGAGCGACGAGTAGCACCTGTCGCTCGCGTCCCTCCTCGCGCTTGCCAATCGAAATTGCACCCGCGCCTGCGCCGTCCGTCCTGACATTGCATTGTACCTACCCGTCCTAAGTGCTGTCACTGAGGCTAGGCAAAAGAGGGAAAGCATGAAGCAGGCACGCTCGGAGGCAGGCGCCATGTGTAGAACAGGGATTAGGAGGGGCCAGAGGGGGGAAAAGGGGGCAGGGGGAGGAAGGCGAACGCAACAGGGGCCGGCCCAGGCCCGGCAGCAACCAGTAGCCAGCAGCGACGAAGAGATGTACCGTCTGCACTAGGTAGTGTAGTTGAGCGGTACGTACCGCACGGATGCCAGACGAGATCCACCTACAATGTCGGCCATATACACTACCTAATGTACGACCTTGGCCGTTTTCTTTCCGAATGCCACTAGCAAGACACATGAGACTTGCTGTGCACTGCATGGGTGGTGACGTGGTTGGTGAAGGCCGGGCCAGTCGACGAGTTCTGTTTCCATCCATCAATCATCTATCAACGATATGAGAAAGAGATAGACAGATAGACAGATAGGAGTGCCCGGGGGATGAGGCATCTGACTGCATTGCATCACAGTTTAGCGCCGCGGCACCGGCCAAACCTCCCAAAAGGGCAGACGGGGTTCCTGCTTCGAGACAGAGAGTGAAGACCCCGAGGATGATGATGATGAGGGCGGCGATCATGATTGCTTTTCTCTTCCCGCCAGCGAACCCAGCTGTCACACCGTCAGGGACATCCGATGACGCGGCATCTTCCGGGCCCAGGTCGACACGGGCCGCAGGGGAGTCAACAGCGTCGCCGCAGCCCGTCGCGTTTGCCGGTGTCTCCGTACTAATAAAGCCAGGCAAAATGTGCCGGGCTGAGCGTGGGAGCAGACGGTCTTCAGGACCGGCGTCCACCGTGGGGGGGCGCTGCAGGCAGCCCCCGCCCCCCCTCTGAGCCCTGGCCGCCTCGAAGCTCCATTCCTAAGGTAGGTAGCGTGCTCAACCATCATCCTCTTGTAAACATTTCCCGACGAAAAGTTTGGCGGAAGAAACCCCAGGGTAATTGCCAGAAAAACAAACTTTTACTTCTATTTCATTTCGTGCCTTACCTTGTGGCCGGCGCCTCGAGGCAGGCAACTCTTTCACTCCCATTCTCACTTGCTAATTCTCACACTCACCTCTCAGTCCGGAAACACCTCTCACACTCTGTGCATCCCTCCCGCTACAGGATGTACAGAGTAAGTAAGGTACGTCGCTCTTTCTTTCTCACACGCACGCACGCAGCCCATGACAGGTGCAAGTGCGACAACGTGAGACCGGACTGGGTTCCTGCTCCCATCTTGACACAAGCTCATCAACCTAAATTGCTGCACACGGCACAAAGTTGCACCTCATTCTCCCTTTCGACGTGTCCTGATGCATGGCCTGTCATCGTTGTCGTCGTCGTCGTCGTCGTCGTCGTCCGTGTTTCTCCCCAGCCCGAACAAGTTCCGCCTCCGCGGGTATTTGTCGCTTCCAGTTTTCCTGCCTCTGCATCTCCATCTGCGTCTGCGTCTGCCTCCGCGCTTGCTTCTTCTTCTGTCCCCTGCCGCGGTCCCCCAGTATCTGTACCTCGACCCCAATGCGATGAGATGAGATGCGTTTCTTCTTCCTATTTCCTCTTAGACTGTCTCTCCCCCATGTCGCACTAAATCCGCATGCTATTCTCCTAATTTACTTCCCCAATCCATGGACTCATTGGGATCCCCTGCTCTGTACAGAGTATTGTGCCCAACATAATCCCACATTGTCTGGATCCTCGGACTTGCATTGTCGCCGCCTCCAGGAACCTCCCTCGTGCCCCCAGTCCACACCCCCGCCTCGACCGCATCCGTCGATGTGCAGTCCGCAATTGAAGAAACACGCTCGGCGCGAATGGAACAAACTTGACGAGTTGCAGCCACCGCGCCATCCAAAGCAACCTCCGCGCCGCTGCCCGCTCACTTTCAACTTGTTCTGTTTCTTTATCATATCACTCCATTCATGCACCGCGCAAAACAGCGCCTCCCCGCTTCCCCTGACATCCCTTTCCCTCCCCCCCGCCGGTGCGGCAGGGCAGCTCTAAACCTAGTACACATACAGCTTAGACGCAATCCCACAGGGGCTGCAGCTCAGGCGAACGACGATCAACTTTGGAAGAAAGAGGAGGCAGGAATCGCGACCTCCGGAAGAAATCATACCGAGGGACCTTCGCCCACTTGAGCCGATCACACACCCGTCCAGCTGTCTAGCAGTCTGAGCGGGCTTCATCGGACGTCCACCGAGGCAGGAGCTTCTCCCTCCATCCCATTCGCATCGCACACATCGAACAGGTCCCAGGACAATAAAGGGGCCCGAGAACCTATTCCGAGCAATCAGCAATCTTGGGAAAGCCTCGTTACAGGGCGGACAACCTCACAGCGATTCCTCGTTCTCACCACGCACGTTTTGCCCCAGGAACGCATCTCAAAACTCCACGTGCCGCCGACATCGATTGAGTTTGGGCCTCTTCCCAGTCTCGTCGTGTTTATCAGCAGCAAAGCCCTGGACGCGGACTTGGTGTTGCTCCCTCTACTCACCGATGCGTTCACACGGCGATTCCAAGCCGATTCCGAACAATGAACCAGATTAAGTCTCTGAGAGTGTCTGTCGTATTGGTCCCGAGCCACTCCACCCCAACATTGTCGTATGGATTGACACCCACTGAAATCGCCGGTCATACGAGATGGCGCAAGTAGTTGGCCTGTCTCGGTCACTGTCAAACGCCGTGTGGCTGGCTTTTGCTGTGGCCGGCTTTCCGTTGTTTCTCACTGCGGCCCAGCCCAGAGTCCGCTTCGTGTTTTGAACACTCCGTCGATCCTCTTGGCCCCAACCGGCCAAAGACCCTGAGAGACTCATCAATCCGCTCCATTTTCCCAACCCTGACGACAAGCCAACGTCAGCGACCTCGGGCAACAATTTAATGTGTCAGCCGGCGGTGGCCCTGTCTGCTGGATTGCTGTTGCTTCCCCGGCTAATGAACTGTAGCCACGCCTCGATTGGTGAGCTCTGGTTGAAAACGGCCAGAAACAGCATGATTATTGCTCGTAGCTTGAGACTCGTCGATCGACATCTGCCGAGACCAGCCACCCTTCGGGCCTTCTACCTCTCGTGTCCGCCCTTGTAGTACTCCAGGCTCCCTTCGAACAGTCGGTCCGTCGCCCGAGAATGGCACCCTTCATTTTAGATCTCACGCACACATGGCTCGTTTCAGATGATCTATGAACCGCCTTCTAACACCATCAACACCTGCTAGACTCGGCCCCCTCGGACCACTTTCGATGCGACTCTGACCTGACTGCGAGCGCCAATGGCTGCTTCCCCTCACCCCCCTCGCCAGCGCCATTCCCTTCTCTACAGACGTGTACCTTGCTGCTGCATGCGCCGCACGTGGCAAACACACCCCAATCCTTCCCGGCCGCTAGCCATCCTATGGCTATGGCACTCGCTGGCCACATGGATTTTCAACTCAACAGACGGCACTTTCCAATCGGCACCATACATCAACGTTGTTTGGGTTAATGTTTGACTGCCTGCCTGCCGTGGAAATAGACTTTGCCATAATCCTGGAATCTCGCCCATCAAGGTCATGGGCTGTCTCTTCATCGAATCGTTGCAGCTCTTCGACAGCCTTTTCATGAATCAGGTCCTGGGCAGCTTCCGGTCGGTTGTGAGGCCTAATCTAGCCGACCTCATCTCCTTCGTCCCCCTCCGTCCTTCACATAGCTATCCGGACACTCGCAATCTGCAGACCGGCCTGATCAGTCGAAACCTTGCGTCATTAGGTTTCGCTGGGTGAGTCAAGTCCAATCGTGCTTGTTTCCGGACGTGCTCGGATCTTGGTTCTCATTTGCCTTCACGTGTATACGAAGCGTTCGTGAATCTTGCACTCTGTTTCCGTACGCAAGCGGCAACTTGCTCACCGGGCGCGGACCAGTACGTCCCGAGCCTTGACTCGTGCGTCGGTGGGAGCTCCGAGCTGCCCCATGATCAAAACTGGGGAACATCAATGATCATGGGACAAACGGCCGTCCATTTGTACTATGCATGCGGTCCGAGTCCGGTTGGCTGTGCCCACCTCTTCCACGTGGTTTCCCGCTGTCTGAGAACAGACTCTCTGGAGCGACAGACCCATCCGACTTCAACGCTCGGCTCCGTTGCGAGTTGCGAGGCGTCAAGAAACTTTCTGAACGGGCTGACTCGGGACCGCCTATTATTCAACACTGGCGCTGTGGAAGTCGATCGCAGACCGCCCACCCAGAAGTAACTCGTAACGCTGGTACCCGCGGCACCCGCCAGGCGCAGATCCCCTGATAAGCGTCGCGTTTTATCTGGCATCCTCGCTTTGAGCACAGTGACCCCGCGGCCAAGAATCCACCCCTCCCAGCCGCATGTCAGCCGCTTTTGCCTGTAACGCTGCGTCGTGTCTGGGTGGATATCTTGCTTACCATCTCTTCGAAACAAGCCTGCCTGCACCCACAGCCCCCCTTAAAGTTTGTCTCCGTAACAGGTATTACACTAGTATTATCAACACGATCATCAACGCCGACGTAACCGTGTAGGCCGAGCGGCGAGTCGCGATAACCGGCGGTCAGCGGTAGCTCGTGTGCGTCTTTCGGGTCAACCACCTTTGGGAAAACTTTACCATCAGTCGTTCGTATGGCTTGCATCGTCGGGCTGATATCAACGGTGTCAACGGTCGCCTGGGCCACCCGGCTGATCTACGGCCTGCCTTTCTGTCGAGATGTCATCGCATCCTGCCGTAGAGTTGGTTCTTCGGTTGCGCCTTGACATCAACTGCCGGGTGCGTGAGGTCGCCAGGTCTTCTGGAGGAGTGTGTGTACTATGTAACATTGACCAGACCCAATATTGGCAGGCTGCAGCTAAAGCTTGAGGAGTGAGCATTGAGGCCAAGACATGCAGAGGGCGGCTGGGCCGCACCCAAGCCAGCTCAATGCTTCAGCTATGCTTGCCCGCTTTTGCCTAGGAGCTTGACCTGGCGCCGTACGCGACACCTATGGTTGTCTTTGCTACGCTGTGTTCCACTACCGATTACACAGAGGTCCAAGCTGCTTTTCTGTTACAAATCGGTCCTGTGGACCCGGGGACTGTCGAAAGTAGCTCTAGAGGAATATACACCATCGATATGAGATGTATTGCACGGCTTGGGCGTATCCATACGTATCTGTTGATAACATGAACTTCAGCCTCTGCCACAACAACAAACCTATCTCGTCTCACCATAACCATTAATGAACGGTGAGTGTCAGGCCAGAGTCCACCGTCAACCCCGTGCCGTTGACGTAACTCGACGCCGGGCTGCACAGGAACACAACCACCTCAGCCACCCCGTCCGCCTCCGCCGGCCGGCCCGCCGGGCTGATGCCCGTGATGAACTGGTCGATGCCCGGCGTGATCTCGCTTTCCTGCTCGAACATGGCCGTGTTCACCCACGCCGGGGCCACGGCGTTGACACGAACGTGCTTGTCCCCCAAGTCTTGCGCTATCGTCATGGGTCAGCGGCCCAGGTCATCACACGACTCGGGTCAAGCAGAAGAAGGAAGGGAGAGAAGCATACCCGTCGCTCGCGTGATGCCCAAGGACGCGTGCTTCGACGCCGCGTACGCGACCTTGTTTTTCACGGCCCCGAATGCCAGCACCGAGAGCACGTTCACAACGCATCCGCGCTCCAGCACCCTCTCCTTGCCCAGCAACGTCGTGTGCCTCTTCCGCTCCTGCTTCTCCATCACCCGTACCGCGGCCCTGGTGACCAGCAGCAGGCCCCTCGTGTTGACCCTCGCCGTCTCGTCAAAGATGTCCATGCTGTTCTCCGGCACCGGGTTGTCACGCAGAGCGGGGAGGCCCGCGCTGTTGACGAGGTAGTCGATGCGTCTAAACTCCTTGGCGACGGAGGCGTCGTCCGTGACGTCCAGCGCGTAGGCGCGTGCCTGGTACGAGGGGTTCGTGGCGTAGGTTCCAGAGGTGGACGCGGCGGCGAGGGCGGCGTCGAAGCTGATGTCTGTGAAGATCACGGCGAGGGCGTGGGAGGCGGCGAAGGCGTAGCTCGTTGCGCGGCCGATGCCGCTGCCGGCCTGAAGGAGAGATGAATCAGTAAAGGCAAATCTGACGACGAATGAGACGGCTTACGCCAGTGATGAAGGCTACGCCTACGGTCTTGTAGGCTGCTGCCATCGTGTTGTTCTATCGAGGAGTTGCTTGTTGCGCCGAGGGAATTCCTTGGGACTTTGGTGAACGCCAAGCAAGGTGTTGCAGGTTGTTATAATACCGCTCGAGACTTCTCTAGTGCCCATCTCCAACGCAGGATCTGCGAAAAGAAGGATCAGATGTACGCGGCTTCAGCTCGTACCCAAAGGCGAGGGACATTTCTGATGGTACTTTGGATTGGATGGACGCTCAGCACTAACACTGCATGCACCACCATCAGAAAACATGTTTCCATCAGTCCCTGCTGAGATGCCAAGGCATGGGAACTCGTACGAACCCCGCATCTCACCTGCATCTACAACGAGTGCGAGATGTGCTGTCGGTCTCCTGGGCACTCGGATGCGTAAATGGTTGGACGAGCGAGACAATTTCGGGTATCGTGCAGTGCGCTGACAGGGGAGGGAGCATGTCAGTCGAGAACGCGATGCTTAGAGGCTTGTGAAGACGAGCTTCCCGAGCAGAGGAAGGTTCAACAGGACTCACGTCGGCCACGTTGTGCCTGATGTTCCAAGCAAGAGATGGAAATGGGCACTTACACGGTTAAGGGGACTCAAAGATTGTCATAGTACTGGGCGATTTTGAATACGTCGGTCACAGTCTAGAATGAGCCACTATGTGTAAACTGCTTTCGATAAATCCAGATTCTCTCATCAAAGAGAAATAAGACTCTACTCTGACAGGTTGAGCGAGCTGAGCGAGCCTTGAATAGAGTCTGTACTGAAGCTATGTGACTCTTGGTCCTTTCCCTGGCCTCCCTTAGGCACATTGTCGATGCCAGCCTCGCTCTTGTCTTCGGATCCAATTTTCACCAGCTCCCACTCCTCCTCGGTCCTCGCCCACTCGGCAAAGTATCCCTTCAACCTGCGGATCCCGACGCGGAACCTCTTGGCGGCGCACTTTCCCGGCATGATGAATCCCAGGCCGGACGTCGAGAAGGAAACTTCTGGATCGTTCTCCTTCTCCCAACGGAGGGCGGTCTCCAGGATCCAGTGCCACCGCAGCCTAAAGTGGTTTCCCACGGCCTCGTCCCAGACGCCACTGCCGGTGCCGCAGCCGTAGGCGTTCTTCTGGCGCTCGCGAAGCCAGTCGCTCATGGCGAAGATTAGCGTGTCGGCGCGCATCTCCCAGTTGTACAGGTCGGAGGCATGGACGCCCAGGCCGTCGGCGCTGCCGGGCTCGTTCCATATCGGATCGGCGCAGAATATCATGGCCTGGATGGAGACAAGAAGTTGCAGCAGGGTGGACGTTCTAGGGCACCACTTCTCGCCGCTCCAGGTGTCGAGGAGGGAGAGGCATACTGCGGTCAAAGGTTAGCCACGGAACCACGGAAAGAAGCTGGAGCTGCAGGGAACGACTCACTCTTTCCGTCGACATAGAGGTTTGGGTTGAACTTTCGCCCGCTTCGTGTCGTTTTGAACTCCATCCGCGGCGGCGTGTTGGGGTACTCGAGGGGACAGAACAGGTCAAACTCGAAGAGCCCGTTCTCGTACGGCGTGCCTTCTGGCCCGACAATGAGGACCTTCATGGCGTCCAGCCGCGAGCTGTCGTGTCGGACCAGGATGCCCTCTGGCACAGAAGTCCTGAGCATTGACAGTTCATACACGATCCTCTTCATTCGGCCGGGCTTGGGAGCGCTTTCCGCGGTGTCTGCCAGAGACCTGCGGAAGCTGTATGCATTCAACCAGTTGTCCGTCTCAAACTCGGTGACCTTGTTTCTGCTCAGCCAGGTTCGCATGCCTTCTAGTTTCTTTTCGTGGGCTCCTGGTCCGACGGCGGCGATGACGGTTGCGGCAGAAGTTGTTGATGAAGAGGACGCCTGGGCTGAGCAGGCGACTTTTCTATATCCGGCGGTGCGGATGGTCGATGTCCCGAGTTCATCAGAGAGGTCACAGATGCGCTGGCACATTGCCAGCGTATCAGTAGCATTATGGCTCCCGGCATTCAGATAATGCATCACCGCCCGAGACTGGTCCGTCAACGAAGAGAGCAAGCTGGCCAGGGACTGCAGAGTATCCTGTGGCGGCTCGAATGGCGCCTTTGCTTTTCCCTTACCCTTGTGATCCACTGAATGAGGCTGCTGCATGGCAGGCGCAAGAATGTCAGCTGTCCCGAAGCAGACCGGTAGGAGAGTCCGGGCGAGGGGATATTCGATCCGGATATCACGGACCAGAGGGGCCGAAAAGGGGTGCGCGACGACGGCCTTGATGAAGTCGAACATGGAATGGTACAGAGCAGCGCGGCGCATGACCTCTTCTATGCAGTCATCGCGGAGGAGCTCCGCAACCTTGATCATCAGCGGGCTGCGGCGGGTCATGCTCAGGAGTAGCTCAGGAGGGTTCTGGTCGAACTCGCTCGAGTTCGCGGTGGAAGGCCAAGCCCACCGGAGCTTCGCAAAGAGTTCGGGGAGCAGCTCCAGGCTCTTGTCGCCGACATACTGGAGCAGACCTCCGCCGGAGCCTTGTCCGTCCCCGGAACATCCGTAGCCTGTGCCGACAGCCGGCCCTGCCAAACGATGCGGGCCCTCTGACGCACTTTCGTTAACGGAAGAGCTGGCTGAGGCTCTCGGAGTCCAAGGTTTGACTTCGACCTGACGGTCTTGGAGAAGGGAGGCCAGGTCATGTCTGGGATGGGCATGTGGGCCGCAGAGAAGGAGGAAGATGAAGAAGAGTCGTGCAGAGGGGCAGCACCACGTTGACGCGCCTGTGCTGTTTGCCGTGGTGGCGGCTGCGGATGACCAAAAGGGTATCGCGGATGCCCTGCTTATTTGCGAGCAGCCAGGGCAGTAGGAGACGCGGCATCTCGAATGCTTGCAGTTGAAGATACAGTGATCTGCACGTGCAAAGAGTGAGCATTGTAATATTGAATTAGCTCAGGAGCCGTTTTCAAGGTGGATGTGTGAAGTACGAAGAGACAATATGGACACGTTGGGGAAGACATACGTTTCTTAGAAGTCAAGATCTTTTCAGCATGAACGAAGACGGCGCTGGCTTTGAAGGGTATCGTGTCCTTGTTACAGTCTGGGCACTTGTGCTCGGTCATCCTCTGGACAAAGTCTCGCAGACTTTGCTCCTCTTCGTGTGCTGGTATTGACATTGGGATGCTAGACTGCGCGAGAATTGTTTGATGAAGACCCGTGACAGTGGCTGGGCTACTGAGGTGTTAAGGAGTTCTTAGACAAAGATGATGGAGGAGAAAAATGGGGGTATAGGAAAGAGAATTTGAACATACAAGGAGGTTATCTGACCCGGGACGGATGTTCGGGCCACGGCATGGTTATCATTTGGTGCCGTGGACTTCCCCATGGTTTCTATTGAAGGGCTCGCAAATTGCGCACACGGTGGCGTCGGGGCCTCCAGGTAGTTCGCAGAGTGTCGCATCACCTTTCTGTCGATGGCCGAGTCGGTATTCTCCTGCATCCAGATTGGCACGGTATGGGCGATGGGTGCCTTTGTGATGTTGAAGGACGGGATATTTTGATGTGCAAAAGTGTAGGCCTGCACAGAGTAGTAGGCAGCCGGCGGCTCCGATGTAATGCGTCCAACTGGCTTGCCTAGCGAGTTTATTGCACTGGTGACACTACTCAGGGATAGAGACGTGGGATTGTAGAGGCCCTGAAAGAGCAGGTAGTCGTTGGTGGGGGGTTGAGACGGGGAATATGGTTGAGAGTAGGAGCAAGGTTGATCAGTAGTCTTCGAGAAGGTCGTTGAAAACCAGGCATTCGATGACGAAGGTGGTAGAGAATGAGAAGGTTCGTACGCAAGCGCGTGGTCCATCCCGTCATTTTTATTTCCACCCCAGTTGCTTTGGAACGAAGCAGACAGATTTGCCATCTTGACATCTTCTTTGCTCACCTTGGTTTCGTTGAGGGAAGCAGAAGGATACTCCATGGCGGGCGGCGGAGCAACTGGAACTGAGTCTTTCTTTCTCTGCCTCAGCTTTTGTTCGACCTTCTCCCAGATACTTCGCTTTCGAGCTGGCTGGTCTGGACGGATGTCAGGCGGGAGGTGATTCAACCCGTGGCTGTCCTCGTCGAGTTTCTCTTTCTTCATGAAGTCGGTTAGCTTGGCCTTGTAAGACATTTTTCCAGTTGAGTGTTCTGTCTCTTTCTCGTGGCCGTTCTCAGAGATATCACGGCTATGAGATTCCTGGCTGAGTCTCTGTGTCTTGTCCTTTGAACCACGACGTGTTAGCCGACAGGAATCTAGAAAACTGGATTGCCTGTGAAACGCGACAACTTCCTGAAGCCCTGCAGCCAACGATTCGCTTGCCTTCGTTTTGTGGTCAAGACCAGATTCTTCGGTCGTGGGCGATCCGGATAAAGGCGCGACCTGGCCCTTCTGGAAGGCCCTGAACAGCCAAAACATGCGATTGAAGAATAACTCAGACATACAGTGTAGTTAACATGTACCTGGGCTGGTATTGCCTGAACGTTTCGGGTCTGAAGCCAAGAAAAGGGGCGGCATGGAAGCCATACCAAAGCCAAGGGTAGGGTGGGATGCGACAGATAGGTAAGATCTTTAGACATTGCGCAAAAATTCGAGAGCATAGAGTTGTGACCCTCCCAACCGAGGAAGCTTTTGCTCAAAGAGGTCGGGCGTAGGACTTTGAGTTTCTTGTATTCGCGGATCTCAGCTTACGGGACCATGGCTCAAAGACGACGGCCTAATGCGTTATTACCGACGCAGTCAAAAGACAAGACGGGACATATGAAGCGAGACGGAATCATGCTCATAACACGATAGGGGTTATGCAATGTAGCGTCAATGCCGTATATACACTTCGTCTCCAAGGTTTATGTAAGCTATTTACAAGAATGTAATATGAGATTTCCAGTCTAAACGGTCCATCATCTATCTCGGCAGAGAGATTCCATGCAGCCAGCTTAATACGCGCTTAGAAAGCCGGGTTGGCATTCTTGAGTAGCTGCTCAAAGTAGGCCTGGAACCAAGTGCCAGCTTCAGGGGCAGGCTTGAGGGCGTCACTCTTGCCGCAGTTGAAGTCGTAACGGGCTGCCGAGGTGTCCGAAGTGCCGTCACTCTCACCGCCAGGCTTGACCCAGACGAAGGCGTCGACGAGCGAGGAGCCGGTGTTGGAGGACGGGCGGAGACCAAAGCCGGTGCCAATAGCGTTGCACCAGTCGCCCCACGCCTGCTGGCCAGTGGGCTGCTTGCCGGAGCGGCCCTGGTCAACGATGAACTGAGCGTTCCAGCCCTGGGCCGCAAGGAGAGGAGCAAGGGCCTCAACATAGTGCTTCTCGTCATAGTTGGAGTTGCCTGCAAACAGTTAGATACACCGGACTGAAAAGCAAAACGACGGCGGATCATTACCCTGGGTGTAAGGAGGGGAGAGCTGACGCTCCAGGCGTTGTACTACTCATTATCAGTGTGCCGGACCGAGACTTGCGGCTGGTTGGACAACTCACGTTGGCAACGTTGGTAACGATACCACGCAGAGCCTTGGGGCTGCCAGCGTCCTTGTACACCTTGGCGTACATCTGCGCAGCAGGACCCAGATTCGCCTGCCAGCCAAGCCAGCCTGCGTGGCCACCGTCGAGGTACATAGCGACGTTGGGGAGGTTGAGCTGGGTGACGGCGTAGTTGGTGCACTCAAGGTAGGCAGCCTGGGCACCAGCGCACTTGGCCACGTTCAAGCTATGGACTTGTCAGTATGTTCGCACAAGGCTCGGGAATCCCGAGGTTAGCTTACTTGGTGATGAGGTTGGCAAGAGAGTCGGGCTCTGAGATAAGAAGTTAGCAGTTGTTTCGTTCGGCGAAATGGCAACAAACTCACCGATGACGAGGAGGATGCGGATGTCAGAGTACTTGAGGATCATGGTGCGGATGGCGTCAATGTATTCCTTGTACTTGGCAACACCGCCGTTGGCGATGGAGTACTCGCCGTTGGAGGCGGCAGCGGCACAGTCACGGTCAGGGAGGTCGTAGACGACGAATTCACCGGCGTAGTTTCCACCAGCCTGGTTGGCACGGCGGATGTCGGCCAGAGTAGCGTCAACCAAGGGAACCTTGTCGCGGGTGTCCCTGAGATGAGTGTCAGGAAGGGAATTCAAGCTAACAAGCTTCAAAGTGATCAACCTACATCCACATGAAGGTCGGGACCTTGGCGACCTTGGCGGCCGCAGTGGCCAGAGCAGGGCTCAGAGACGGGATGGCCAGAGTCGTGATCTCGGAGGCGTAGTACGAGTTGGCCCAAAGGTCGACGCCAGCGAAGGGGTTGCCAGTGTAGGTAGCACCGCCGCTAACGGGAGGAGCAGTGGTCGTGGAGCCGCGGCTTGTGGTGGTGGCGGAGCCGGCGGTCGTCGTCGAGGTGCGGGACGGGCTGACGACGGAGGTGGAGCTCGTGAGAACGGTTGAAGAGGCGACAGTCGAGCTTGACGATGGAGCAGCGCTGCCAGGGATGCACTGGCTGTAGAATGGATTGCCGACGACGCAGGTGCTGCCGGCGGCGCAGCAGGTAGGACCGGTCCAGGTTTGACCACCACATTGGGCCCTGAAGCTTGTTAAAAGACATTTGGGGTGAGTCTCGGGCTCCACCTACCAGACAGATGCGCAAGACTGCCTCTCCTCGATGGGAACGGCGAAGGCCACAGTGCCCAGAAGGGCAGCGGCGAAAAGCGTGCGTGCAGCCATTGTTGCTTCGGTTCTGAACCTCTTTAACGACTTTGACTCAATGGTAGGTGTTTGTCCGTGGCTTGTAGATCCAAACGGTTACAGAACAGTCTGGGAGCCGACCCCTTTTATCATCTTTCTGTCAGTGACAGACATCAGGTTCCCTTGAGTTCGCCGCTTGATTCTTTCGGATCGGCGGGATGGACAAGCTGTGAGCCCATGACGGGCGAGGGACTTTGCCCCACGATCTTCGGAGCAAAGTTTCGGCATTCTGGGCCCTTGATTACTTCTTTGAGACAAGCTCAAGACAAACGGGCGAAGCCGAGTGAGCTACTGGTGCCCATGGGGTGTTATGAGCTATGGAACAGACATCCGAAGATTCGAGTGGCACGGGGCAGGAACCGCGGAACGGGTTGGTTGATGGCGGGCTGGGCCAGGAACAAAGTCTGGGCATGGAGGCAAACATCGTCGGCGGCGCGACCAGGTACGGCTGTCATCAATGGATGAGGGCGTTGAGAGGAAAAGTCCGCCAACCAAGGTGTGGCTAGAAGACAAGTTGGATGTAACGGAGTGTAAGTCATCTCGGAAGTGACGCTCCATATTAGCCGTGAACGGAAGAGCGCGTTGGTCATGGGGGCGCGCTGGATGTGGGGACCATCGCGGAGGGTGCCATGAGGGGTCGGAAAGAAGTCTGAATCGTTCCGATCAAGTTACAATCGCGCAGACTTTCGATGGAACAACGGCTTCGTCGCCCGAGATGTACAGGCCTTGGGAGCAGTGTGCCTGAGCTGTTTAATCTAGAGACGGAAGCTTACTCGATGAGGGCGTCGTGAAGCGGTATACGGAGGCTGGTAGCTGTTGATGTACGGGTCGACCTGCTGACGGATTGAAAGACAAAGCGAAAGTGGCATGGCTTCAGGTACCAACAGTGCGGACAGACAAGTACGTTGCAGGAGCCGCACGCCAGGGGCTGAAGGTAAGCGAGTTGGGGAAATTGATTTGGGGTTCTTCGTGGTTGGTTGCGGGTGGTTAATAGCAGATCAGGGTTGTTGCCGAGTCATTCGGACCTGTCGGGTGTTAATGAGTGTTAATCAGTGTGGTGAACAAGACGCAACCGATACTGATTGCTTGTCTATTAAGCATTGATCAGCACCTTGGGTTTCCAGGGCTGTGGCAACGATCTATATTGATGTTTCCTTGACGTTTCCCTGTGTCTTGTTACCAAACAACTCTATGTCTCAACGACGTGGCAATGGTCCAGCTTCACTTGAAGCAAACGGATTGACATGGTTTCCAGTAATCTGTGATAATGCGGTGACCGGAAAAGAAGGTAATCGTTATCGGAGTAGCAGACTGTGCAGCACTCCAACTTGTCGTTGAGGTAAGTACTCCGGCGCGAATATCTGTGTAGACCATAGCTTGATGGACATGCCTTGCGGCTTGACATCACCCCCTTGGATTTTTCGCAAATAAGAGCCCACCCAGAGGGAATACACTGATCGAATGGCCTGTGTATAGCCACTGGTTGTAGAATCCGTTTCTGCGTCGGCGTGGAAAGACTGACGGCCGAGTGGAAGTAGACGATGAGCCGGGAGGTGGAACAAAGAAGGCGGGAGTGTCAATATCTATTCGCACCGTCTGGCCAAACTGTGCTGACATAAGATGTCTCACAGCACTCCGGAACCCGCTAAAACACTCCGCCGGCCGTTGCATGTCAGGTGGATCACGTAATCTGGGAGTTGAAGAACTCGGACCCACACCTTCACGGAGCCCCGGAGCGGCTGGAGCTTCACCGCCCGGACCCTCTCGTGTTACGGCAGAATTTCCCATGGTTCCCGAAACTGTCACCTCGACAAGTCGAAGCTCCCCTGACAGCTGACCGAGACTCCGTCGCAGTCCCCGCTGTCCGTCCCGCTCGCGATCATTCTCAGGCACTACCACCACCAGCACCTCCTCAACCACCGCATCCGCGCCCCCTTTCCGACTTGTCGACCAACCCGTCAACCCCGTGGTCGCTCCCCTCGCGCATTCAATCGCGCACTCACCCGCCCGCCCTGTCGTCAAAATGCTGTCCGGAATCCTCATCTTCAATCAGAAGGGCGAGAACCTCATCTTCCGCGCCTTTCGTAACGACTGCAGACCCAGGCTTGCCGACGTCTTCCGGATTCAAGTGATCTCGAACGCCCAAGTCCGGTCTCCAATCCTGACCCTCGGCAGCACCACCTTCAGCCATGTTAAGCACGAGAACATCTACCTGGTCGCCATCACCAAGAGCAATGCCAATGCCGCACTGGTCTTCGAGTTCCTCTACCGCCTGATCGCGCTGGGGCGGGGCTACTTTGGCAAGTTTGATGAGGAAGCTGTCAAGAACAACTTCGTGCTTGTCTATGAGCTGCTCGATGGTCCGTCCAACCCCCGTTTCCTGTGCTTGAAATCGAAACGGCACTAACAGTCTACGCAGAGATCATTGACTTTGGCTATCCTCAAAACACCGAAACCGACACCCTCAAGATGTACATCACCACCGAAGGCGTCAAGTCCGAACGCGCCGCCGAGGACTCGGCCAAGATCACAATGCAGGCAACAGGCGCGCTCTCGTGGCGCAAGGCGGATGTTAAGTACAGGAAGAACGAGGCTTTCGTCGACGTGATCGAAGACGTCAACCTCCTCATGTCCGCCACGGGAGCCGTCCTCCGTGCGGATGTCACCGGCCAGATCGTCATGCGCGCCTACTTGTCCGGTACGCCAGAGTGCAAGTTCGGTCTCAACGACCGTCTGCTTCTCGACAACGACGGGCTCTTGAGCCTACCGAGCGGTAACAGAATGGGCACCAAGGCGACCAAGGCGGCGGCGGGTAGCGTCACTCTCGAAGACTGCCAGTTCCACCAGTGCGTGAAGCTCGGCAAGTTCGACAGCGACCGCATCATCTCCTTCGTTCCACCTGATGGCGAATTCGAGCTCATGCGCTACCGCGCTACCGAGAATGTCAACCTGCCGTTCAAGGTTCACGCCATTGTCAACGAGGTGGGCCGCACAAAGGTCGAATACAGCATCGGCATCAAGGCCAACTTCGGCTCCAAGCTCTTCGCCACCAACGTCGTCGTCCGCATCCCCACCCCGCTCAACACTGCTAAGATCACGGAGCGCTGCACCCAGGGTAAGGCCAAATACGAACCTAGCGAGAACAACATTGTGTGGAAGATTGGCCGGTTTACTGGACAGAGCGAGTTCGTGCTGAGCGCCGAGGCTATTCTGACGAGCATGACAAACCAGCGCGCATGGTCGCGGCCGCCGCTGAGCCTCAACTTTAGCCTGTTGATGTTCACGAGTTCGGGCTTGTTGGTCAGGTACCTGAAGGTGTTTGAGAAGAGCAATTACTCGAGCGTCAAGTGGGTGCGGTACATGACGAGGGCGGGTTCCTATGAGATACGGTAAGTCTTCCACCTCTCGTTGGTTCATCGGTCCATGAGCACTCTCTAACATCTGGACAGCTTCTAGCGGGATAATTACGCGTGGTTTCGAGCTTATGTGGTATATTGCATAGTATGGCGTCAAAAGGTATTCCCAGTAAAAAGAACTGGTGGGCTTCAGCACGTTTTGTCCATGTTTACGGCGACCACATTGATGACAAGTCTCATTTAGAGAGACGATGGTAATACAAGGTGTTCTAACCACTCTAAGTCACCTTCTGTCTCGACGTGAGATGTGTCTCGTCGTCAGACCTCGGCGCAACCTTGCACGTCGTCGCTGAGGGCAATGCGGCACCAGCTTATCCCCCATCCCGAACACCGACCCTCGTAGCTTTGCATACGCTCAAATCAGGCCGCCCATCGCAAGCTCATGTCCATGACTTCTCCGGCAAACCGTTCGGAGGTATTATTCAAGTTGCAGTCCATCAGTGTGGTTGTGTCCACCCCTTCCACCTCCTCATCCTCGACCAGCAACACCCTCACTCCCTCGAAATCTTGCTTATCTGCGTCCACCTGCTGGCTGCGTATTGTCTCATCCATCGCCTTTGCAAACACATAACTCGGGTGCTCATGCGACCAGCCAAGCCCTTCAAAGTCGAACACTTCGCGATACGTCTTCCCGACGCCATGTATAACATCTGGCGTTCTAGCCGTAGCATCGTCTATGTCCTGGTTAAGCTGCCAATACAAGGCCCTGCGCGTCTGAAGCTGGTAAATCTTCGTTTCATGCCGCTTGCACCGCGTACAGCGCCCGTGGCAATGATCCACCAAATACAATACCCGAAGGTTTTGTTGCAAACAGCAAGCCAAATAGGCAATCTCTTCGAAGAGTACCGCCCCGATTGCCGACGGAGCCCACGTTTCCGCGACATCCAAAGCGATACATTGCGCATCACGCAGCGTCTCTGCCATCTCGGCACTCCATGGGCCCTCGAGCACATCGGTGAGGTCGTTCATCCCCGACGCCTCGAATTCTCCGAAGAGCACCCCTTGACTCAAATCCGTAATTGCTCCACCATCCCTGAAACGCAGGAATAGGACGTCCTCCTCATTGCCATAGTGTATCCTCTCGTTCCGACCCGGAAGATAGACGGTGTTCACCCTCTTGCCTCTCATTCTCCTTTCCACCGCCGCCGATGCCTCGGAGCACGTCAATCGCATTGTCTTACGAAGTCTGTAAACAGATGGATCATATGCGTGTCTAGCAACCCTTGTTTGTCGCGCCAGTTCTGCGGGGCCAATTTCCAAAGCGTCGAGAAAAACGCATTCATTGTACTTGGCCCACCTATCGTGATTACTCTGCGGCATCGTCCCGTCGGCGGCCTGGAAGGCGCGTTTACTGCGAGCACCGCCGCGCCATGAAGGAAAGCAGACGTCGAAGATGTGCATCGAGGGGCCGGCGGTAGCCTCGTCCCAGATCTTGAGACGGAGTTCGGCCGGGAGATCGGGAAACTTGCTGAAGGAGCTGGAGGGCATTGCGGGCGACTGGTGACGGGGCAGATTGCTTTCGGGAAGACCCAGAATGTAGGACTGCAGGGTTCGTGGGAGTTGATGGAGACATTGTTGCAGGACTGCTGCTGATATGCGTCCCATTCGGTGCTTGATGCTCAATGAAGCCCACCAGCCAGAAACCCATTCGAGGGAATCCGCCGCCAGCTCACACATCTCACCCATGCTGACGTGCACACCTTCTCGATTGCAGTTCCATGGTGTCTTGGTCAGAAATGAAGTTGCGAATCAGTTCCTCCTTAAGGCATTCGCATGCTCACCAGCTTACCCTCAGCACTTGTCCAAGCCACATAAGCCTACCCGTCGTTTGTGCTTACACGTTGCTTGAAGGAGTGGAAAGCAGCGCTACCCGTCACAAAGTTCCAAAGTGATGTTGGCTATTGATAAGCCCAGTGCGGCTGGGCCTGCGGTTCCCACACCCATCGTACGACCACGCAGCGCTCATTGGTTGCGTGAAGCTGCCAACACAAACATTAGGTGAAGGGTGTGCATGGGCCGGCCTGGCCGAGGCCAAACTGATGCCTTTGCGGGCGGGCGGTACAGGGGTTCCATGTCGCAATGCAGCCTTCTGTTTGCCATGTCCTCTTGTTTGGACAAACAAATAAGATATCTCAGCTTGGCGCAACAAAACTGAGTTGTAAATTATGGAGCGAAGAATCTCTCTACAAATTCAACGCTCTTCGCGCCTTTTGGAGGCGGGTCGAGGGAACCTGTCCTCGCGGGTGACTTGCAATGCCGGCCTTCGCACCGGACAACTGGGTCCACCCCTCCGTTCCGACCCGGTCAGACAATCATGTTCAAAGCATCGACTCCTTTGCTTGGGCTAGGGATACAGTTACTGTACTACACATCGATAACATCAAGCTTTTGTACTCTAGTATGCCAGAGCAGTCAATTTTTCGACATCCAAGAGTATCGTCAACGATGAACAGAGCCAAATTATCTGTGCGCGGATTCCAGCTTTACACCATCCCTTTCTGTAAGGTGCATCCATCAAGCATGTGGCCCTGGAATGCCCGATTCCTGGTTAAAGCTCGTCACTTCCGCACTACCACGCGGTGACTAAACACCGGAATCGTTCTGAAGATTAGCCGCATCTTCACAAGAAGGATATTTAGGATGGCTCCCATTGCCCACGTTGCCAGGCCAGTAGTTCTTGCAGTCGTAGGCCCAACTATTCCAACTTGCGCAGAGGGTATGCGCCTTGTCCAGAGCACTGGAATTCCCGGGCGGCCAGATGTCATTCGCCGCGGTCTGTCGTTCCATGATCTGCAACGATAGTCCCGTGGACGCATGGTCGGCGATGTGGCAGTGCATCAACCACACGCCAGGGTTGTCTGTTTTGAAGGCTATGACAGCAAAGCCGTTCTCCGGAAGAAGCACGACATCGCGGCGCGGCGGGTTGTTCTTGTTGGGTCTGAAGATGTTCGGGTCTTTGGGGTTCCAAACTTTATTGTTTTCTTGCTGAACAATGGCGAAATCGTGACCGTGAAGATGGATCTAGACAGCTTCAGTTACAGATACAACCGTTCAAGGGCAGCTGTCTTACCGGATGAGGTCCAAAAGTTGGGTGATTAGCATTGTTGGAGTTGAGGACCAAGTAGACCTACAGGCCATGAGGCCCAGTCAATAAACATATTAAGGCGATTTCGAAATCCCAGACTGGCAAGAAGGAGGAAGAGATACATACCCAGTCTGTGGCGGTGTAGTTTTCCGGAACGACAACCCACCCGTTCGGCCATTCGTCTCCGACGTTATCCAAGTTCAGGAAAGTCGGATTACCGTACGAAGTTTGGAACGGTCTCACTTCCTTACTGCCCGGCCTCTCAAAAGAGAAGAAAGACGTTGCGTATGGACCGGAGCCAGGGCTAGTTAGGTTGTCAACGTTGAACTGTTCTCCAATCTTGCCATTTGAAGGATCTCCGACTGTCCAAGGAACAACAGGCTCGAGGAAATCATTGAAAACAGTGTCAGAGCATTCGAGATTCACATCCCAAGCCTTGGTATTGGGATTGGCGGTGCTGGTGTTATCGTATCGGAGGATACCCGTTTTCATGTAAGTCTCTTCGTCGCGGTTTTTAGGGCCACAGCCATTTGCAATCCATGTTCGGATCCAATAGTTGCCATCACTAGGCAATGGGTTGGCGGAGGGATTCGAGCTATTGACTACCGGTGTGGCCTCAACGATCACATGATACCTCTGGCCGATGGCTATGAGAATCGAAGTTGCATTGAACGGTTTGACCGGAACGAAGTCGGCCTCAACAACAGTGAAATTGTGGTTGTCAATGGAGAATACGAAGGTAGTGTCAAAAGCCGTGTTGACGAGACGCAAAAGATAGCGCTTGGCCCGTGTGACGGGGTTGGGCTCGACGTCGTCGAACCAGATCTCATAGCCTCGAGGGATCTCGGTTGTGTTCGCATTTTTACCCGTAAATCGATTTATGTTTCCTAACCCGCCCAAAAGGATATCTTCTTGGGCCGGTTTTTGATAAAGGTTTTCAAATGCACTGGTATTTGCTGTTGATCATGCCTTAGCATTGCTTTCAAGGAAACATGATGCGAACGGGTTGGGGGCCAGACTCACCCCAATCAGTGACGGTGATTGGCTCAATAGCCTTGTCATATGGGAAAGACGTTGGTCCGTGGATTGTCTACCACCGAGATGGGTAAGCGATTGCTCATGAGGGGCTGAGTGGTATCGCATAAGACTGGAAATAACTTACTATGGGCGCTTGTAGCCCATCTGCGTACTGCACTGAGTAGTGGCTGTGATACCACGAGGTGCCGTACTGCGTTGCGTTCCATTTGTAGATGAAATGGGACTGCGGGGCAATGGGGCATTGTGTGATGCCATTGACACCGTCCATGTGCATTGTCTGATTCTGCCGGATGCCGTGCCAGTGAATACTGGTTCCGTTGTGATTCAGTTTATTGTGCACATGGATCTCAACCTCGTCTCCCCAACACGCTTCAATAAGAGGCCCTGGCCAGGTATTGTTGAAGATTTTGGCTTGGTAGAAATCCAAGCCGTTAGCATTGATGTATCCGTCGGTGACATTGATATGGTAGCGACGAGTGATGCCCTGTGGCATCTTAGTCTCGTAGTCCGTGCTAATGTTATACTCTTCTCCTGTATCCTTGTTTCGAAGCCAGCAGCTTCGGTCATCCGGCGTGCCACATGATCTGAAGCCGGCCATACGAGTGTAGTTACAGACGAAGTTGTCAATGTTGCTGCCAGGGGGGGTAAATATGGGGCGCTCATGCTTGCTCAAGGCGTCGGTATTGACTAAGCTGACGCTGCCTCCGAAATGGTATTGGGCTCCATCACCAAAGAATGGAGAGCCGAATAAAGAGTGGGCAACGTCTGTGACAATAATCCAGATATGGCGAAGGGCCAACATCTCAGCTTGGGTTCTGCAGGTTCTGCAGCGGGCTTACTCGCTGCGGCTATACAAAAAGATGGTGTGAGCCTGCTCGTCAGGAAGTTCCCAGATGAGCTGCACAGATGAAGGCTTTTAAATACAGTTCAGATGAGCAGAATGCCATGGTGTCAAGGGATGTGTTGATGTATGCGGGGTAAGCAGCCTACTGTCGTTCCATAGCTTGGGAGGTGCAAAGTCAATGTGGTGAGGGTCTTGGATTGGAACGATGTGGCGTTGCCCTTTGGATTTGCAAGCAGACGCGAATTGCATCGAAACGGGCGTATATTCAGCCCCAGGATTCCACTCAGGTGGCCAAGGGATATCATACGATGCAATTACCGCATCCCACTCCAATCTTGCATCGTAATATAATACCGAAAGCTAGAGCTTCCGAGTTAGTCATTACCTGGTTGTTTCTTGAGTTCGAATTAATCGGTGCTATGTCATAACTATAACTATAACCATATGGATTTAAACTTACGACTACGAACCACGTTCCCACAATACTAGGAACTCAATGAGTCGTGAGTAATTGCCATCCGCGCAACACTTTTATCCGCAATCCCAGCACAAGGGACGGCCCGGTAGTGAGTGGTTTGTCGATTGGTCACTTTCAGCTTGTCTCTGTCTAAGACAAGTGGACAAAGTTTGAACCGTCGGGTTTCGCCTGTCTGGTTGCAGCAGGGAAACGGTCGGCAGGCATGGCTGCAAGTGAGCGGTTGAACGGTCAACCGAAATTTGGGATACTGTGATTTACTGAGATGCTCAGCTCCTGGCGCTTGTTCAAATGGGTAACGAGCTGACTTCAGTTAAGCGCGATTGGAAAACACACTGATGCAAACGTCCCGCTGCAAGCTTCTTTAAGAAATCAATTTAGCCATTTCACACTTACAGGTCTCATTGCCGCATTAAACAGACCATCAAGACTGCGGCTGGATCGGATACTGCTTGGCTATACCCTGCCTTATGATCTCAACCAAAATTATCTGCGGAAACTTCGAGGCTATTGAATGCCTCCTTGCTGACGGTCAACGACCGAACCCGGACGTAGCTTAGTCTCAGGCACTCTTGTATAGATTTCGGACGAATGGGTTTTATGCGAGAAATCCAAACATATTCACCAAACTGTATCGGATTACTATACTGCTTCAAAGTGTCATTAGTATCTAGTTGTCTCAAAGAGCTAGAAACTGTCTATGGGGCTTTATACTAAGATACATAAACTTGACTGGTTCTCCAAGACGTTGTGAATGAAACTTGTGGTCCTTTCTCATCACAATCAACATTGAGCACTGGATCTGGGGGCTGTTGGCACCCTTGTTTTGCATCATGGTTTTTATCTATGAATGAATTCAAAATTCAAGCGGTGTTTGAGGCATTTTACAAGTTCCATACGTCTTTGATTCTTGCCTTGAAAGTCTCAAGCACATGCGAACAAGCATCTAGATGGAGTTATGGTTAAGGGGTCTAGTTCTTATGACCCGCATCTCAAAAGGGGGTTTGTAGGCTCCATACAGCAAACCCTACCAGCAAGCCACATGTTCTGGCCACATGTGGCGGTAACGATAACTGTCCAGTCAAGCACCCATCACGACACTCCTTTAAGCTTATCCATCATGACAATAATTCTCAGATATTCAACTGTTGCAAGCATCAAGAATTTTGCATTGATTCATGTAAGAGAACTGAGATTGCTCGAGCTCGGCCAACTGTACCTACGAAGGTGAAGTAGGTATTAACATAACCCTGATTACATGAAGGAGAAGATGACATTATTGCTATAAATTAAAAACGTCAACAACTTCAAGGTGAGTGGAATGTAGCTAGGGACTCCAAGAAGCATAGGATGTTCCCCAAATAGTGGCGAGATTGAACTAGCTTCGATCGATTAGCGACGAAAACCTTTCTCAACCACCCGGTGTACTGGTAAGAACCATGAAAGTTGAGTATAAACACCATTATTCCACATCAACATCGCAATAGAGCTGTTGAATTGTCACAGCATACGGCCAGTATTAGTTGTCCGCTAACACTGATAAGTCCTAGATTTTCTGGCTCTCGCTAAACATTATCGTTCTCTGAGACATGAAGCCTTTAGGCTCTGGCTTGCCGTGCGTCCCAAAAGTCCAGACTTCTTGTGCAACCGTTGAAGTCCGCCACAATAAAGTCCAAACGCCGTTGTGACACGACGTATGCAAGCCCCCATGCCCCCATAACCCTATATCTATGTTTGTCTACCAGGACATGCAGTACCTGTAGCTCTTTCGGCCGTAGGCCCTCAATAGAAAACAAGCAATGAGTATGACCAGTAGAAGTGCTTGGTTCAGCTCTCTTCCGAAAGAATCTATTGACAGGCTGGGTCGCTAATTAATGTCGAAATTCGGTATGTCCTATATCACAGTGCAGCTGACATCCAAAATTTGTCGAGTCAGCGCTTGGTTATGCGTAACGATGGAAACCCGCAGTTTCACTAAAAGATTTGTATGAATGGATTATCGTACGATTTGTCTTCAGTACATATAATTACTGTGATTGTACGCCTCGATAGAGACCATGGCTTGTCATTGGATTAAGAAAGGCAAGTAGATGATAAGGGGACGCAAAGTGAAGTCTTATTTGATCGAAGTCTTCCATGTCAGCTGCTGAATCCAAAGGTCTGGATTCCCAGCTCCTCGGGACCGTGAGCAACACATTCAAGCCTGAAAACCATCGTTTTATTCTCCTTTTTAAGAGTCAACAGGTAATAGTCCTAAATCTGGATAGCTGTCTGCCTCGTGTACTCTTAACTTCCCTTGATGGTGGTTGAACGTTCATGTTTATTAGACACCTTGATGAATGAAGAATTAGCTGATTATATTAGATTTGACACACACCGCGTCGATCTCAAGGTAACCGGTTGGCCTTGTAAAACTTGTGCTGTACAGCAAGATATTACTGGAGCAAGTGAAGGCAAATGCTGAATGCCATAGTTATTTAACTTGACGGGCATCTGGTAGGCCCAAAACTGGATCAATGAGGGTGGGTTAAGTACGCATGCACCAATAGGACTGTGTTGCAGTAAAGTTTACAAAAGCTATATACAACCCTTCCTGCCGAAAACACAAGACGAAGGCCTAAAGTCTTCGGGGCTACATTAGGGAAACCGGGGAAGCTACACAGAATGTGGGGATTAAGTTTATGACTTCTTAATCCGAAGAAAAGGGCTCGTTAAGTCTCGCCTTCTGACGCGATATTCGTTTTCTTTGAGAATGATGCAAACAAATCTCAGCTCAGATTTATAGAATTCACGTCACTTTTTAGTATTGTGTTGATGACGCTTGATTTGGGACATCGAACACATCATCTAGAGTACCGATGCGAACATTGGTTGTCGGTGAGCTGCAGAGAGCAATCAATCTCATACCGCCGAAGCTGTCAGAGCCATATTGAGCGTTCTTTAAAGTGACCTCCAGAATAAAAACACGTAGACAAGTGAGAAAATGTCTAGGGTACGATAGAACGCCGTGCAGTTATCATGTAAGGAGGCAACTCTGGGGTACATAATGCTGCATGAGCTTAGGTTTTTGAAGCTTAAATTGACAGGTTTGCCAGCCGTCCAGAATACGCCCGGAATATTGGAGCCCGCAAATAATGCTAATTACTTTCAATGTAGCTCAGCGCAAGAACCAAGATATTTAGCTCCACAGCCAAAGTTGACGCTCGTGGGAATCAGGATCAGAAGCCTGTTCGTGACCCCATACCACGCCCTTCACATGTGGCTTCCACATGGGCAACGAAAAGTGAATCCTCTCGGAACCGCCTGTCGTTACAAACGTGTGTCATTGTGTCTCGATTCCTGGGATATCATTGGCCATCTAGGTTGAAATTTCTTCCTTGTGCAAGACCGGTAAACATGCACACGGATCGTGCTCGCCATCCTCTGAAAGCACAGTGATAGTCATGGACCATGGGGTTTGACAATGGCGGCAAATTATTGAGGCGTGGCAGGAAGATCATGCCATCCCCCGGAGTTCACGGAGGTAGTAACAACGACATGTAGCGATGGACTTCCAAGAAAACAGTATTGAATAGCATTGCTACCGAGATTGACATGTACAATTTTTCATGGCAAGAAAAGATGGTAGGGGTCTGTTGGTGAGCTAACAAGAAACCATGGTGAAGATTTCGTATAAGACCGTGCAGTCCGCAAACAACCAGATGGACTCATTTCTCCCGCACTCACTCCCAGCAACCTTCCGGCACTCGAATCTCTGTGTTACCTCAGCACTGAACCAGCCACGAAACTGGCTATCACTGAGATCCGGTTTGCCTGTGTCGGATTCCCTTACCATTTTATACATTCCCTTTGGAAGAGAACTGGACGAGGAAAGCAACATCTCGCCCTGGCAATCTTCGACTTTCGCAAGATCAACTCAAGGGCGCTTTCCTTAGTATTAAGTCACTATGTGCACCTACTCTTATTTACATCACCACCACATTCAACCATGCACTCGTCCCATCGATTACGTTGTTCATTATGAGTTCTGTTTCAATGCTGAACGGGACTCCGATGGAAAGGCCCAGGTCCCCTGTGAGCGAGCCTTCTACGACCCAGTACAGTCGGTCGATTTCGATAACCCTTGTGCAACTGGGGGCTGTCTCCTCTCGCCTGACTGTAGCTCCGGCAACTGTCGTCTACAAGAACTTAACGGGCAGTGGGTCTGTTGCCAATGCAGCCGAGGAAGCAACTCACTCCGATGGTGTCGACACAAGATGAAGAAAAGCCCAGACACTTTCTGTTACCACCGAATCTGTCAAAACTGCACACCCGACACAAGTACTTGAAAACCTTGGAACGGACTGATGGCACCCTAGCACACGTGGATCCAGCCAGGCTGATACGTGACTATGGAATTCGGACCCAAAAGAAGAAAAAACGAGGAGAACACTCAAAATATTCGATATTCTGTCAGCAGAAGGGCACAACGCAATCTACAGCG